CCCCCCCCGGCGCTGCCTCTTCATGCAACTGACGCCTTTTGCGTTGCGAAACAGCTGCCGAACGACGCCCTCTCTCTGCCCCAAGCCCCGCGCATTACCTCTGCCTGCATTCTTGGCGCCTCCTCCTCGTCCTCCTCCTCTTCACCGCCCACCTTCACGCTTGCCGCCGGCACGCGCGACGGCGTGCTGCGCCTCTACTCGACGGCGCACGCCGCCGGGCGCAGGGCGCGCCGCGAGACGCGCGTCGTGCCCGCCGGCGCCGGCGGCGTGCGCCTCGTCGTGGCGGGCGCGCCGAGCAGCGAGGGCCGGCAGGAGTGCTTCGTCGCCGACGGCAGTGGCAAGCTGTATGCGACGGATGAAGAGGGAGCAGTGACGTACTCCTACAAGGGTGAGTTACCTTTTTGCGCCCTCATTCTTCCCAAGCCTCGAGCCCCCCCCTCGCCACACGCACGCGTGACTTGAGATGCTTGCCCCCCGTCCCCCCATTCCTTTGCTGACGCCGCCGTATCTTGGCCGCCAGACATCACGGGCGCCGTAAATGTGGTGCTGCCTCTTTGTGCGCCCCTCTCCTCTTCGTCTGCGCTGCCCATCTCGGCGCCGCTGCTGCTCAGTGCGTCTCTCGACCGGCTGCTGCGCCTGCACTCGACGGCGCCCGGCGCCGCGCAGCGCGCCGGCGCGTCCAAGCAGCGCGGCACCACGCTGGCGAGCGTCTTTGCGGGCCAGACGGCGCTCGGCGCAGTGCTGTGGGATGGAGAGTGCCCGGTTGTCGATGTGGAGATGGAGGGAGAGGAAGAGGAGGTGTGGGAGGCTATGGACCGCGTGGGAGAGGAGGAGGAGGAGGAGAGTGAAGAGGAGGAGGAGGAGAGAAGCAAGAAGACGAAGAAGCACTAGCAGCACTTCACTACATCACAATCGAGCCCCGCCTACACACACACACACACCTACACACATATGCATCGTCACCGTCTCACCCCCTGTTCCATCAACACCACGCACTCGCTGTAATCGGCAAACCCATACGGATTCTTGCCACATGCCACAGGCTCGGCGTCTCTACACGATGTAACTCTTGTGCCCCCCCCCCCCCCCCCCGGCAAGCCGCTGCTGCAGGTGCGCGCCACATGCAGGCAGCAGCCCGGGTGCGGCAGATGTGACCGTGTTGGCAGAGAGGTCGCAGCGGGCCAGAGATGCAGCGGCTCAGATGCAAGCCCGCCGCGCCCAGTCTCTGCCGCCCCCCCCCCCCCGCTCGGGCTCCTCTCGGCTGCGGCATACGGCATACGGCGGGTGCGGCACGCCGCTGCTGCCCAGCGCCAGGGGGGGGGGGGGGAGACATGGAGTTCCATGCATGCGCGCAGAGACCCGTTGGGAGCGGCATGCGGAGCGTTGCGCGTAAGGCGCCGTAGCGCGCGTTAACGCCCCCCCCCCCCTGGATGCGTCTGGGATGCGTCAGCCCCGACGGGCGGCCGAGTGCCCCACACTCTCAGCCTGCAGACCTCTAATACCTCTTGAGTCGAGTGAGTTCTGACGCATGTCCAGCTGCTGAAGCGACGCAAGAAGAGAATCTAGACCTCTCACCTCCCGGGAAGCTGCGTGTCTGAACTGTGTATGTGCTTGGAGGCCACGCACGCGAGACGCGCCCGTGCCGAAGCGATCTTCGCGTCGCGACGGCGGGCCACACACGCGAGAGGGGCGCTCCCGCCTCCGCGGCTCGCGGCGCCAGCAGCTCTCTGTTTCTGCTCTCGCCGCCCACACTTTGTCACGCTTTTTGCACGCCCTGGTGGCCGAGAGAGGGCCGAGGTAGGGTATTCTCGAGAATCCGAGCCAGCTTGAGCGGTGCCGAACTTTACTCGTCACCGAGGCGACGTCGCGTTTGCGGCAACTCTTACCTGCCAGCCTGGCGCTGCTGCAAGCAAAGACCTCCTCGACGGGCAGAGGCAGCAGGCAGACGCGAGAGGCAGCCGCCAGCATGCTTGTTCTGCGCTCTGCGGCGTGACAGCAAGGGTCGTGCAGAAGCACAGGCGGCGGAGTTGAGAGCGCCTGCAGCCGGCGAAGGCGGGGCCAGCAGATGAAGCAGACACGCGGCGCGCGCGCCGTCAAGGAGAGGGGCGCAAGCGGCGGCGCCTCTCTCGGCGCGCTTGAAGCTAAAGGTTTGCGACTCGAGATGCAGTGCTCTCGGCTCGCAAGCATGCAGCAGACGCAGCAAGCGACAGGACGAGACGACAGTGACAGCTTCTCAGCCAGTCACGGACGAGTGCGTGAGCGAGAGGCCGTCTGCATGCTGCTGCTGCACTCGCCGCCGAAGGCGAGGCGCGGAAAAGCGACGGCGGCGACGGAGCGCGGCACTGGCAGCGCGCAGAACGCAGCGCTCACTGAAGGGCCTTTGAGCGAGGCCCACTAAGAGTGCATGCCGCGCTGCTGTGCCTGAGCGGCTCGGCGCACGAGCCGCACGCGGCCTGCCAGCAGGTGGCCGCGGGAGCTGCCGCGGCTGTGCTGCTGCGCCCGCCTCGCTCAGCAGGCGGTGCGCTGCACTCCGGCCGCAGCGGCGAGGAGACGAAAAGTGCGCTAGACGCAGGCTGCTCCTGCGCCTGCAGGGCTCCCTGCAGGCTGCCGCGCGCGCGGCCGCGGCGCTGTGCACGCGCGGCGCCGCGCCGCGCACCAGCCGAGGTGCCGCTCGACAGCGACGACGACAAGCAGCCGAGGCAGCGTCAGCCTGAACGTCGCAGCGTCCAGCCTCAGCGTCACTCTCCTCGCTCCTCTCTCGCACCGCGCTCGTCTCTCTCGCTCACACCCACACCGCACAAGGCTCCTCAACTTATCACGGCCGCGACTGCGACCTCCAGGCGAGCGCTGCCTGCTCCTCTCTCCGCGCGCTGCCACAGCCCCCCCGCTCTCTCTCGCGCGCCATGGCCGCAGCGGTGCTCGCGTCGAGCAGCCGGCCGCCGTACGGCACCAGCAATGGCGTCGCGGGCGGCAGCAGCAGCAGTGCAGGCGGCAGCGGCAGCAGCAGCAGCAGCAGCAGCAGCAGCAGCAGCAGGCCATTGCGGCAGCGCACCACGCCGCGGAGACCGCCGGCGCACGCCGCAGCAGCAGACGCGGCGCCGGCGCAGGCCGACTTCGTCGAGCATCTGCTGCGTCTCACTGCCGCGCTCGTCGAGGCACGGCCCGCAGAGGTGCCGCGCAAGAGCAACGGCATTGCAGAGGAGCTCGGCGCGCTCAGCATACGCCCCAGCGCCGCTGCTGCGGCGCTCGACGACGACACAGCAGGCGCAGCAGCTGCCGCAGAGCTCTTCCCGCTCGCCCTGCCGCTGCCGCGCTTTGCGGCTGCGACGGCAGACGACGAAGAGCGCACACATGCCGTCGAGGCACACCTCGCCACGCTTGTGGCACGGCTGTGGGCCGCCGAGGATGAGCTGGCGACGCGCGATGCTGCCGCCGCCGCCGCCGCTGCAACAGCTGCTTCGAGCTCGCACAGCAAACCGCGCGCCTCGTCCGACGTCGACTCGCCCTCCGAGAGTCCCGCCGGCGGCGCGCCTTACTCGCTGCCCAACTTTCCCTACCCGCTCTCTCACGCACATCCGCAGAGCAGCACGTATCCGCTCTCCTATCCCCTCGGCATGTCGCGGCATGGGCCCGTGCTGCTCACGCCCTCGCCCTCCAACGCCTCGGCCGCGCCGGCGCCGCGCGACGGCGAGAGTGCGGGCGAGGACGAGGCAAAGGGCGCACTGGGCGCGTTTGAGCGATACATCGACAACGACGAGAGCGGCCTGAGTGCCCAGGAGGAGCTGCGTCTCCTCAAGGCGCAGGTGCAGGACATTGCCAGGGTGTGCAAGGTGAGTCGCGGCGATGCGCGCCTTGGGTACCGAGGTCTCGGCGAGTGGGGCGTCTTGCGCGCAGATGACGGGGCTGCACCCTCGGCACGCCCAGCAGGCCGCTGGGCACCTCTGGCGTTGGCTGCGTTGCTACGGCACTGTCGGCATCGGCAGGCCGGGAAGCGTGCCAGGCCGGCGCGCTGTCATGCGCTCCTCTCGCTGCGACTGCGCGGCCGCCGCTGCCTGGCGCGCGCGCGCAAAAGCTTCCGACACGCCAGCATGCTCACCGTCTCCCTCTCCACAGGCCGTGGCGTTCGGCGACCTCTCGCAGCACATCACCGTGCCCGTGCAGGGCCATGTCATGGTGGAGCTCAAGGACATCATCAACCAGATGGTCGACCGTCTCTCGACGTTCGCGGCCGAAGTGACGCGCGTCTCGCTCGAGGTGGGCACGCAGGGCAAGCTGGGCGGCCAGGTCGAGGTGGAGGGCGTCGAGGGCCGATGGAAGGAACTCAAGGACGTCGTCAACCGACTCGCCGAGAATCTCACGACGCAAGTGCGAGGCGTCGCACACGTCACCAAGGTGAGCGCGCGCGCACGTCACGGGCGCGCGTACGGAGCGAAGATGGCTGATCTCTCCAGCGTGCAGGCTGTGGCGCGCGGCGATCTGAGCAAGCAGATCGAGGTGCCGGCCGACGGCGAGATTCTCGAGCTCAAAGTCACCATCAACGTCATGGTGGACCAGCTGCGGCACTTTGCCAACGAGGTCACGCGCGTCTCGCGCGAGGTCGGCAGCCGCGGCCAGCTGGGTGGACAGGCGCACGTGCCGGGAGTGCAGGGTGTCTGGAAGGAGCTGACGGTCAATGTGAGTGCGAGGCGAGCGTTGAGAGTGCACGCAGGGAGCAAGCAGGGAGAGGGCGCGCGCACAATTGGCGCGCAGCCGCGTTGACTTGGCTCCATGCGCGCTGCCCTCGCGGCGCTCCTGTGCTAACCTCTGCGCGTGCGCAGGTGAACCGCATGTGTTCGAACCTCACGGAGCAAGTGCGCTCCATCGGCGTCGTCACGACGGCCGTCGCCAAGGGAGACCTGACAAAGACGATCGACATCGACGCCGAGGGCGAGATGGCGCAGCTCAAGGACACGGTCAACTCGATGGTCGGGCAGCTGCGCGTCTTTGCGAGCGAAGTCGTGCGCATGTCGATGGAAGGTGCGTGTTGCGCGTCTGCGGCCCTCGCCAGCGCACAGCTGCTGATTCTCGCGCGCAGTGGGCACGTACGGCAAGCTCGGCGGGCAGGCGCACGTGCCAAACGTCGAGGGCACATGGAAGGACCTGACGGAGAACGTGCGTGCCGCCCTGCGTGCGCGCCGGCTGCTGCCCACTGACGCCTCCCCGCGCAGGTCAACAAGATGGCCGACAATTTGACGTCGCAGGTCCGCGAGATTGCGCGCGTGACCAAGTGCGTCGCCGAGGGCGTGCTCACCGAGTTCATCACCGTCGACGTCAAGGGCGAGATTCTCGATCTCAAGATGACGGTCAACAACATGGTGCGGCAGCTCAAGACGCTCTCCGACGAGATTATTCGCGTGTCGGTGGAGGTGGGCACCGAGGGCCGCCTTGGCGGCCAGGCCAACGTCGACGACGTCAAGGGCCAGTGGCAGGTGAGTCGTCGTGCCCGCGCGCATGGAGATGGCCTGGCTCACTTGCGCGCGTCCGCACAGGTCCTGACGGAGCGCGTCAACATGATGGCGAGCAACCTGACGACGCAGGTGCGCTCCATCGCCACGGTCACGACGGCAGTGGCGCGCGGCGACCTCAGCAAGACGATCAACGTCGAGGTCCGCGGCGAGTTCCTCGACCTCAAGGTGCGTGCCGCGAGAGGGCTTGGCGGCGGCGGCCGCTGGGTGCCACCTTCTGCGCATTGCTGACCTCTCGCTGCACAGCTCACGGTGAACAACATGGTCGAGTCGCTGCGCACCTTCTCGACCGAGGTCACGCGCGTCGCCAAGGAGGTCGGCACCGAGGGCAAGCTCGGCGGCCGTGCGACGGTGCTGGGCGTCGGCGGCACGTGGAAGGTGAGCTGCGTGCGGCGGCTGCGGCTTGGCGAGGCCACGCCTGACTGGAGCGCACCCTGCAGGACCTCACCGACTCGGTCAACACCATGGCAGCGAACCTGACGCTGCAGGTGCGGACCATTGCGCACGCCACGGTGAGTCGCCGCGCGTGGGAACTGCCTGCCGCGCCGCTGACTGTCTCTTGGCAGACTGCCGTGGCGCGCGGCGACCTGACGCAGAAGGTGACAATCTCCGTGTCGGGCGAGATCCTCGACCTCGTCAACACGATCAACAACATGATTGACCAGGTGCGTGCCGTCGCAAATACACGCCGCCGCGCCGCGCTCACCCCCCTTCGCAGCTGTCCTTCTTCGCGTCCGAGGTCACGCGCGTGGCGCGCGAGGTGGGCACCGAGGGCAAGCTCGGCGTGCAGGCGCAGAAGAAGGACATCAAGGGCAAGTGGGGCGAGATCACCGACAACGTCAACATCATGGCGAACAACCTGACGTCGCAGGTGCGCGCGTTTGCGCAGATCACCGCGGCGGCAACCGACGGCGACTTTACGCGCTTCGTCACCGTCGAGGCGTCGGGCGAGATGGACTCGCTCAAGACGAAGATCAACCAGATGGTGTACAGTCTGCGCGACTCGATCCAGAAGAACACGGCCGCACGCGAGGCGGCCGAGCTGGCGAACCGCAGCAAGAGCGAGTTCCTCGCCAACATGTCGCACGAGATCCGCACGCCGATGAACGGCATCATCGGCATGACGGCGCTGACGCTCGAGACGGAGCTGTCGCGCAGCCAGCGCGAGAATCTGGTGACGGTGTCGACGCTGGCCGGCAACCTGCTCGCCATCATCGACGACATTCTCGACATCAGCAAGATCGAGGCCGGCCGCATGAACGTCGAGGAGATTCCCTTTTCGCTGCGCGGCATCGTGTTCAGCGTGCTCAAGACGCTCTCGGTGCGCGCCACGCAGAAGAAGCTCAACCTCATGTACGAGGTGGCGCCCGACTGTCCCGACCCGCTCATCGGCGACGCGCTGCGCCTCAAGCAGATCATCACGAACCTCATTGGCAATGCCGTCAAGTTCACCGAGGCCGGCGGGCGCGTGGCGCTCAAGTGCACGCTCGCCAAGATGGTCTCGCCCAAGCAGGCGCTGCTCGAGTTCTGCGCCAGCGACTCGGGCATCGGCATCAAGCAGGACAAGCTCGACGTCATCTTCGACACGTTCTGCCAGGCCGACGGCTCGACGACGCGCAAGTACGGCGGCACGGGCCTCGGCCTGAGCATCTCGCGCCGCCTCGTCAACCTCATGGGCGGCGACCTCTGGGTGCGCAGCAACTACGGCCGCGGCAGCGACTTCTTCTTTACCATGCTCGTCGAGCTCGACACGGTCGATGCCGAGCACGTGCACGAAAAGATGCGCCCGTACGTCGGGCGCAACATCTTCTTCCTCGACACGCTGCACGACCAGTCGGGCGTGCAGCGCATGCTCGAGGAGCTCGGCCTCAAGGTGTTTGCGGCGCACAGCGTCGAGGAGGCGGCGCAGCGCAAGCGCGGCATGCCGCGCATCGACGCCATCATTGCCGACTCGCTCAGCGTCATCGAGGACCTGCGCACCGTCGAGCACCTGCGCTACATTCCCATCAATCTCGTCTCGCCCTCGACGCTCACCCTCAACCTCACCTACTGCCTCGACCACGGCATTTCGTCGTACACCAACACGCCCATCACGCTCGCCGACCTCTTCTTCACGCTGCTGCCGTCGCTCGAGAGCAGCGCCGCGGCGCCGAGCGAGGGCAACAACGAGGTCACGTACGACATCCTGCTCGCCGAGGACAACGTCGTCAACCAGAAGCTGGCGTGCAAGATCCTGCAGAACCAGGGCCACAAGGTGGATGTCGTCGACAACGGCCAGCTCGCCGTCATGGCCGTCAAGAAGCGCAGCTACGACGTGATCCTCATGGATGTCAGCAGTGCGTGCCGAATGCCTGCTTCTCCTGCCTGCGCGTCGCTGACCCATTCCCGTGCAGTGCCCGTCATGGGCGGCATCGAGGCGACGATTGCGATCCGCGAGTTTGAGGCGACGCTCGGCGAGGAGCGTGTGCCCATCGTGGCCCTCACGGCGCACGCGATGCTCGGCGACAAGGTGTGTGGCTGGCCTCGCTTGCGCCTCCGCTGTGCTGGGCCTCGCCCACTGACGCCCCCTCTCCCACGCCGCAGGAAAAGTGTCTGCAGGCAGGCATGAGCGCCTACGTCTCCAAGCCGATCCGGCGCGTTGAGCTCATCGCCACGCTGCACTCGCTGCTGTCCAAGAAGAAGGGCCTCGCTCGGCCATGAGAGCGGCCGCGGCGAGCTCCCGTCCGTGCCCTCTTGCGCGTCTCTGCATTCCGCTCCCAGCTCCTCGCTGCGCTTCAATCGCCTTCGCTCGCGTGTGTCCTCAACATCCTTGCATCCGCCGTGCTGCCACCCACCCACGCACCCCATCTGCCCCCCCCCCTCCCCTCTTCCCGCGCGCCATGCTCTCCATCTAACGTACGACGCCCGTCCCGATCTCGCACCACATGCTCTCTACACCATCCGGATCTCCCCCCTCTCCTCTGCCGTGCGGATCGCGCCGCGAGCGCCAGTCGCTTTTCCGCCGCTCCCGCCTCGCCTCGTCTCGTCTGTTCCCTCGCCGCGCTCAAATGTGCCTCCTCGGCCGCTGTACTACACTCTCGCTCTCTCTGTCTCGCTCCTCTTTCTTTCACGCTGCCCTTCTGCCTGCGCAAAGAGATCTCATCACCAGTCAGGACGCAGTGCAGGCTTGCGGCGTGATGGTGAATAGGTGTGGCAATGATACAGGTGGTCCGCAGAGACAGTCGCACAGAGTAGGTGGCAGCTCGCTTCTACAGCGGCGCGCAAGGGGTCGCGAGTAGGATGTCTCGGGTGTGGAACGATGAGAAGGAAGCAGTGGCAGAGACCTCACGCAGCGTGCGTGTAAGGCGGCGCCGCGCCGGCCGCATGCTGTTCGCGCATGCGCGCCTGCTGCACGTCGACGGGATCGAGATGGTCGTACGTCGGCGCTTCCGGCGCGGGTTGCGGCACGGGCGGCGCGAACGCCATGCCCCCCATGGGCCACGCGGCGCCCGCGCTGCTCTGCGACATGTGCGGCGCGTGCTGCGAGGGCAGGGAGAAGTGGCCCTCCTCACTGGGTCCGCCCATGGAGGGGCCCGTGGCGTTGGAGAGCGGGTAGCCGTCGGCCGAGAAGCCGCCATGCGACTCTTGCCGCGAGCGTGCGCCGTAGTAGCCAGCGGCCGTGGCGCCAGCGCCAGCGGCGCCGTACTCGCGCATCTCGCCATAGTGGCCCGACGAACTGGCACCGTAGGCTCCCGCCTCCGGGTCGTCGTCGAAGCCCGCGGGCAACGTGCCGCCCTGCGCGCCGCCGCCGCGAGCACTGGCGGCTGTGGTGGCGAGGCCGGGCGAGTTGGGGTCGAACGTCGGCCAGTCGCCGTCCTCTGACGCGCCGCGCGGTCGCCGGCCGAAGCAGAGGAACCAGGCGTGCCCGGTGCGCTCCTTGCGACGCTTGAGCAGGATGCCGAGCACGACGAGGGCCGTCAGCAGTGCCAGACCGCCGACGACGCCGCCGACGACGCCGCCAATCAGGCCGCTGTTGCTGCTGCTGCCCGATGAGGCGTTGGCCTGGTCCGACGACGGCAGCGTCGTCACTTCAACGACGACGGGCTGCGTCTGGGTCTGCGTCACAGTGAAGACGGAGCCGTCGGAGGTGAAGGTGTTGACCACCGTGGCGGCGCTCTGCGACGTAGAAGAGAAGGTCGTAGGCTCGGGCGCACGCGACGTCGTGCTGCGCGTCGAGGTGGGCGCGGCGGAGGAGCTCGAGGTGGATGCGGCTGTGGTCCGGGAAGCAAGGCGTTGCCGGGTCGACGAGGGAGCAGCGAATGGAGGGGAAGAGGATGCGGAAGAGGCGGAGGAAGAGGAGAGCGGGAGGAACGAGGACGAAGAGGAGAGGAGAGAGTCTGGATCAGCAAAGGTTCTTTAGCGTCGAGGCGGCGCATCTGGCACGCCGTGCTGCCCGAGGACGCGCGCGCGACACACAAGACTCACCGCTGGTGCTGCTGGCGGCAGACTGCATTGACGACGATGGCCGTGAGGAGGCGGAGGAGGAGGAGGAGGAGGAGGCGGGCGCCTGGAGTGTGAGCATGAGCGATTCCACGCGCCGTCTCTCGCTGCGCCGCGTGCTTGGCCCGGGCCGGCGCTGCCTCGCCGCCGCCGTCGCTGGCCACTCACGCGCGAGCTGGAGGCCGCTCTGCTGCTGCTACTAACCGCCGCGCTGGACGACGACGACGACGAGCTCGAGGCTGCGCCGCCGTTGCCATTGCCGTTGCCGTTGCCATTGCCGCCGAGGATGCCGTCGATGATGCTGCTGGCGCCGTCGACGATGGGGTCGAGCAGCCCGCCGGACGCGCCTTGGCGGCGACGCAGCTCGGCAAAGGACATGGTGCAAATAGAGAAGGAGTGTGGGGTTTGCTGCGATGAGGCAGAAAGGAGGTGAGCGTGTGGAGAAGAGGAGAGAGGCAGCGCGCGGTGGCTGCAGTGGGAGCAGAGCCTCGTGCCCGATCACGCCGCACGCTGCCACGCCCTCGCAGCGCAGCGCAGCGCAGCGCGCCTTTGTGTGTGCCGTGCGCGCTCCACTCTTACTCTCGCCTGCAGCGCGCACTCTCGGCAGCGCACCTGACTTCTCGAACGCCGGCCCGCGCCGCTCTCCCTCGGAGGGCAGCGTCGCGCCTTGCACCCTCGGGCTGCTTGCCCTCTCGCCTCGCTCCTCTCTCGCGGCACGCCGATCATTCGCCGCCACCGCGCCGCCTCGCTGCGCACACGCCGCACGCCGCATTCGCCCATCGCATGAGCTTGACAGGCGCACTCCGCCGCATGCCGTGCGTGCGCCGCTGCCTGCTGCTGCCGCCTCTGCGCGCCGATGCAGCAGCATGCGGCGCTGCAGCTGGCGGTGTCCCCTCCTTCCCCCGCACGCTCTCGCCTCGGCACAGCGCCGCGGCAGGCGCAGAGTGACGCAGCGCTGCAGTGCGCGCGTTCAGCCAGCAGCGCAGGCGGCACGGCCCTCTCCGGCGAGCGAGCAGAGAGGGCACCCCCATCTTCGCACCGAGCTCGGCACGCCGCCTGCATCCTCAAGATCGACGCTTGTGGCCACGGGCACGCGAGAGGGGGGCGCGCGCACTCCTCTCGTGCCCGCAGATGAAGTGCTGACGACACGCATGCACGCTCGGCCGCGGGCCACGCGAGACACCGCACCGCCGCCGTGCCTGCGGCCGCGCACAATGCTCCACCGCCAGCAGCACGCAGCAGAGGAGGCAGAGTGCTTTGAGCGGCCCGCGGCTGCCGCGCCGGCACCGGCACGCGGGCAGCGCTTTCTCTCTCGCGGCAAGCGAGGCCGGGCCCCTCGCCTCTTCGGCCTTGACGGCTCGGTGAGAGGTCGAGGGGGCCTCTTCGGCACGTGAGATGCTCAACGAGACGTAGCGAAGCGAGGCGATGAGCTCGGTCTTCCTCCTGCGAGCGAGAGAGAGAGAGACAGCAGAAGAGAGCCAGGACCTTTCTCGCTCCATCAGCGGGGATGAGCCGCGGGCGACGGCCGCCTCGTGTGAGCGAATCTCTCAGCATACGCCCGCGTGACAACACAGGCACCCCTAGCCAAGCGAGGGCATCTCGACACCCACGCCTTGCGCCTTCCGGGGCCCGAGGCTCCGAGGCTCGCTCGGCGAGCACGAGCCGCGGCAGCCCCAGCAAGACGAGGCTCCGAGCGTCGGGCCGAGGGCGCACCGCACCCGTGCCCGCGCCGCAACGGCCGTTTGTTTGTCCAGAAGACGCCGTGGCGCCAGCGCAACGGCCGAGGCCAGCCCACAGCTGCAGCCGTCTCTCTTGGCCCGCGCGCCCAGAGTTCTCAGGCTTCGGCGTTCTCGCCGCGCCATCGAGAGGCGCACCACGCCGCTGCCGGCTTGACGTCGCACACGACTGCTGCTGCCCAAGGGGCGCCGGCAATCTCGTCAGGCGGCCAGCATGGCTCGGCGTGCAGAGAGGGGCATGGCATTCTCTGCCCACCCTCGTGTGAGGCCTGTTCTCGTCTCAGGAGGCCCCGACGGCGGCCACGTGGGGCTCGGGCGTGCAGTGCTCGGCATCGAGCGCCGGGCGCAGGTACCTGGCGGCGGGAGTGGTCCGAGGTCAGCGCTGCGCCGGGAGCCTAGGTCCTTGTTGTTGCCGTGTGCCCACGAACGACGCACCAGTTGCCCAGCAGGCCCGGAAAGGCCTTGAGCAGCGTGATGCTCAGCATGAACACGACCAGCGCATTGACGGAGGCTTGGGAGAGGGTTGCGTCATGCGTCAGCCTCGAACAGTCGCTGCGTCGCCAGCCCACGAGAAACTCACAGCCCGCATCGAGCGCAGCGCTGAGCACATAGATGCGCTTGGCGAAGCTGCGTCGGGCCGTGTCAGCCATGCAGCTGCGGCGCCGCACATGAGAGCACGACTCACAACTTGGGGTGGTGCTTTCGCACCCACCACTGCGCCGTCATGGCCGCAATGCAGCCGCTCAAGATCACCTGTGCTTTGCGTCAGCGATGCGCCGTCCAAGGGTGGAGAGGGGCCGACTCACGTTCGTTGGCGTCTGGGGCGGTGATCCAGCCGCATGCTGCGAGAGGGTTGCATCCGGCGTCAGAAGTAGCGAGAGACGTCGCTGGTGCAAGCCCGACGCACGAGGATGACGGGAAAGTTGATGAGCCGCCAGTACGGGTGCCGCCAGCGCTTGTTGAGCAGCCAGGGAATCACCGGCCCGATGGCGCCGAGGAAGAAGCCCCTGTGCGCGTGTCAGCGCCGCTGCGGAGGGCAAGGATGGGGCAGCCGCACCAGTAGAGCTTCTTGTAGCTGGCGGTGGAGGGGTCAGCGGTGCAGACGTGTGCTGGCAAGGGCACTACTCACGCCCCGACGAAGAAGCGGGCTGGGCCGATGGCGCCTGCATGCTCAGTCAGCATAGCAAGTACGGCAGCTCGGCGTCGGGCTCACCCCAGATGATCGTCGCCGAGAAGAAGCTGTACGATGAAGGTCAGCCGCTCGCTCGCGAGTTTCTGCGCTGCTCCACTCACATGTGCACCTTTCGCCCGTCCCACTGTCCTGACGGGTCGATCTGCAGCGGGAGGGTCGTCAGGCAAGGTCAAGCGCTTGGCAGCCCGCCAGACGCACCTTCTCGCCGGTGAGGAACGCGCGGTAGCCGGCCTCAGGGTTGAGTACCAGCCGCAGGACCGCAAGATTCACGAATGCGCCGATGACGGTGCCGAGCATCTGTGCGAGAAACATGTGGCGCGGCGGAATCTTGAGGTAGTGTGCCAGCTTCAGATCGACGGTGAGGTCGAGCGCTTGGCCCATGGCCAGGTAGCTGCGGCGTGTGAGCGGAGCGGTGGCGTCGAGAGAGCAGAGAGCTGCTCACCCAAAGCACTTGAACGTCGCGTTGCCCTGCGCACGCAAGTCAGTAGAGCGCAACGCGGTAGCTGCCCTAGCTACGCACCACAGGCGAGCCAGGCGAGAGCAGGCCCCACACGAATCTGCAACAGGCTGCATCAGCAGCGTCAGAGCCAGCCTGGCCAGCACACGCACTCTGTGACGACATTGAGGCCGATGGTCGTGTCCGAGATGGCCTTGATGAGACCCACGGGCACCAGGAACACGATCGCGAGCAGCACAGCCAGCAGCAGTCCATACACGGGCAGCTGCAGCGGGCTGGTGGCCACCAGGATGATGGCGGAGCTCAGCGAGACGGCGAGGGTGCCGAGGTACCAGCTGCGCGGCACCGAGGGGTAGTGGCGCATCTGGCGCGCGTGGTAGTCCTCGCCGGGCCGCGCAAACATCGCACGCTTGATGTCGCCGCCGTACCACAGCAGCACGTGCGAGATCATCGACGTGAGCGTGGCAAACGAGATGCCGTAGGAGATGGCGAACCACGGCGTCGTGTACACGGGCGTCACCTTGGCCCACTTTGCGTTGTCAAGCGTGTTCTCCGGCGTCAGCACGCTCATGACGTCGAACTTTTCGTAGTTGACGTGGTCGTAGAGCGCCGCGTTGATCGGCGAGGCGAAGCGCTTGGCCTGCCAGAAGTTGCTGAAGTACAGGATGGGCATGACGAGGTACATGGCGCCCGCGAAGCTGTGCAGCGTGTCAGCCTCGCGCCTCGCCGCAGGAGCAGCAGACTCACCCGACGTAGTAGTTGATGGCCGCTGCAGGAGACGGTCAGCGACAGTGACTCGCACTGTGCTCTTCACACACTCACCCCACAGGGGCGTGTACAGCGGGCCCGACGTGCCGACGGCCGACCAGTCAAACGAAAAGTTGAGGACGCCAAAGCCACGGAAGCCCGAGCTGAGCACGGTGAACACCTTGTTCTCGTTGTTGAGCATGCAGAGCAGCGCCACGGAGCTCAGCGTCGGCGCCAGCAGGTTCGGCAGCGTCTGGTAGACGAGCACGGCAATGAAGGCAAACATGAAGAAGCGCAGGCGCGGGCGCGTGTCGGCGGACTGCGCGCCGTGCAGCGTGTGGAACATTGTCGTGACGACGAGCGTGCTGGGGAAGATCATCGCCACGGGCTTGACGAGCACCGAATGCAGCAGGCCCGCAAAGCCGAAGCCGAGCGTCTGTGTGGCTGCCGACGCTGTCAGAGTGGGGCTGAGCGCAACGCAGCGCCGAGATGCTCACAGAGCAGCAGCACCAGGCTGGCGAACACGCTCATCTGCTGGTTGAAGAAGAGGTCCTGCGGGCGGCGTCAGTGCGCGTCCGCGACAGGGCACAGACGCGCCTCACTTGTACGTTGACTGCGAGGGGATGTCAGCATCGAGGGCGGCTTGGAAGAAGCTGGCACGCACTGATGTCGGATGCATATGCCGAATGGGCACCCGAGCTCGAGATGACGGCAATTAAGACATGCTCTCTGCCCGCGCAATCAGCCATCGGCCCGGCAAGCGCAACGGCACACGCAGCTCACTTGATGTTGAAAGGGCCGGGATTGAGTGCGACGTCACCGAAGAGAGGAAAGCGGACCGTGCGCTTCGGGGTGACCTTGGCAAGCCAGCGTCCCAGCGGCAGGCTGATGAGGATGATAAAGTAGCTGGAGAACGAGGGCGAGTTGGAGCGGTAGAAGAAGAGCTGGCGGAGTGCCGAGCCGCCGTCAGCACCCCGAACGTAGGACTATCCGCTGCTCGCTACAGCAGCAAGCACAGGCAGGCCTGCGCACCTGCTTCTCGCCGCCCGCCCGGCCTGGTCATGCATCCTATGTGGCCCAGCCCACATGGCGCTCTCGCATGCTCGGGAGCTGCTCCTCTCGCCGCACTCACCTGGGTGACTGCTGCTCCCAAGCACGAGAACATCGAGCCGAGCACCACCGCTCGCAGCGTCAAAGCCGGCATGGTCACGTCGTCCGTCTCCGGCACCGCTCTGCGGATCAAGCTGGCCGGATCGTCGCCCGTCAGATCCTGCGGCTTTCTCTCCTCGTCGTGCAGCCGCGCCTCGGGCGCGCTGAGGAGTGCCTCCTCATCATCTGCATCGTCGTAGTCCTCCTCATCCTCCTCCTCGTTGACCTTGGCGCTGCGAAGTGCGTGCAGCTCCAGCGAGGGAGACTCTCGCCGCGACGTCGTGGGCGTCGAGTAGCGGTCTATGGACGTGTCGCGGCGCCGACGCGGCGAGTCGAGCCCGGACATGCGAGCGTCGGATGCGCTCGGAGCGCTGTCTCGGCCGCGGCGTACACGATTGGGGCGTGCGAGCGTGGGCGACGGCGGAGCCGGCGAGGGACTGCGCGCTCAGCGAGCCTGGGTCGTGCGAGGCGTGGTGGTGAGAGGCGCAAGCAGAGCGTGTGCGCTGGCAGCGAGCCTGGTGCGGGGCACGACGGCAGCCGAGCAGCCACGTAGGCGGTCAATGCGAGGGCGAGAAGAAGAGGGTGCCTTCCGTCCGGAGCATAGAGTGAAAGGCGAGGGGTGGAAGCGAGAAGGCAACTAGCAGCAGGCTGGCCGCGAGTCTCGGGCTGCAAGATGCGCTTCCCGCGGCGCGCGTGCAGCTGGCCCGAGCGCAAGATGCACACTGCTCAAGTGCCGCGGCCCCGAGACGATCTGCTGCTCCCACGCGCTGCGCCCATTCTCGATGGGCCATGACACGGCCAGCCGGCGGCTGGCGAGCAAGGGGGGCCTCCTGTCCCGCCCAGCGTCTCACGGTCTACTCTCCACGCAGCCAGTCAGTCACGCAGCGCTCGTCGCAGCATGCACATTGCTTCAGCTTCATCGCTCCGCATGCGACGGCAGCATCTCGAGCGCCTCCTCGTCGTAGGCCGCCTCGTCGAGCACCTCCTTGTGCTGCGGGATGGTGTCGCGCTGGGCACGGCGCGCAAAGAGCGGCGCCAGCACTCGTCGCTGCGTCAGAAAGTACATCGGCACGCCGGCGAGGATGAATGCGGCGGCAGCCAGTGCTGCAGAGCAGGGTGCGTCAGCGCTGCCGAGTTAGTGGGCTGCACGCGACAGCAACGTACCTTCGAGCGGCGCGGAGAAGATGGGCATGAAGAGCAGGAAGAGGGCGACGGCCGAGAAGAGGATGGGCGTCGTGATCCACGTCTGGTACGGCCGCTCGAGGTGCGGCTCCTTGATGCGCAGCACGAGCAGGCCAAGCACGGTGAAGAGGTAGCCCGACCAGCTGCAGACGCCGTAGAAGTTGACGAGCGAGGCAAAGCCGCTGCCGAAGAGGATGAAGACGATCACCAGCGCCGCCTGCAGCGCCGTCGCCGCGACGGGCGTCTTTGTGCGTGCGTTTGTGCGGCCGAACATCTTCGGCAGGTAGCCCTCCTTGCCCGCGGTGAACACGAAGCGCGCGCTCGTGTAGAACTGGCCGTTGAGCGCGCCCAGGCACGAGAAGGCGACGAGGCAGGCAAACACCACGCCGCCGACGGTGCCGGCGATGGCCGAGCCAAAGTCGAGCGCCACCGTGTTCGTCTGCGCCACGAGCTGCGGCGCGAGCACGACGAAGTAGGACGTGACGGTGAGGAGGAAGATGCAGAGCACGATGCTGAGGCTCGAGTGGATGACGCGCGGCAGGTTCTTCGTCACGTTCTGCGCGCCACGTCAGCGGTGCGCGTTGCTGCTGCGACAGCCTGCCTCACCTTGATCTCGCCGGCCACGATCGTGCTCTGGTCCCAGCCGTCGTACGCCCACAGGCCCGAGTACAGCGCCAGCGCATAGTTGCTTGGGCTGCGGCTGGATCCCTCGAAGAGATTCGGGATGCTCGAGAAGGCGTGCTTGCTCGCGTCTGGCATCTTGCCGCGCGCGGCGACGACGATGGCAAGGACAGGCACGGCGACGAGAGCCAGCAGCTTGACAGCTGTCGTGGCGACCTGCCCGCGCGTCGCCAGCCGCGAGCTGAACGCGTGCACGGTTGAGATCAGCACCACGATGATGACGGCGATCAGCTTGATGCTCCATGGCGGGATCTGGTCCAGGCCTTGCTCGTGCGGATGCGCCGCGGATGAGGAGGTGGTGTGGTAGATGACGCGAGCCACATATTCGCTGCGCGGCAGCGTCAGGCCGTGCGACCAGCCTCACAGCTCGGCCGACTCACGCGAAAATGATGGCGATGATGGCCCCTGACCCGGGCTGCACGGGACGTCAGCGCGGCGTCCGAGCACAAGCAGCGCACGAGCGTACCTTGAGCGCCACGATGGCAGTCCAGGCGAAGAGGTAGGCGCTCAGGGGCCCAAATGAGTACTGCGCACATGTGAGCTGCTGCGGGGCTGGCATGTATAGCTGCTGCACCCACATTCAGATATGCCTGAGCGCCGCCGTTCAGCGGTATCGCAGCGCCCAGCTCCGCGAACGAGCTGCAGCGCGATCAGCATTGGGCCAAGATGTATACCCGCTGCCTGCTCACCTGGCGCCCGTCCAGGCCAGGATGCCGCTCACGAGCCAGACTACCAGGCTGGCGCCGATGCTGCCAGTGTTCAGTGTCACGACGCCGGGCGAGGAGAAGATGCCGGAGCCGATCTGCAGGCCGACAGTCAGGGCAATGCCTGGGGTAGTGAGACGATCAGCATGGAGCGGGCTGACCGCCTTCAATGCTGCAAAGCACAGAGGTCGCGAGCACGCCGGCAGCATGGCCGCTGGGCCTCTGCCCATGCAAACCACTCTTCGCACGCTCCGGAACAATGTGCGCTGCGGAGCGCTGAGCACCCCGAGCGCCGCTGTACGTTCCAAGCACTGCGACCGCATCCGCTTGCGCTGCATCTCGCGCACACTCACCATCGACGAGACCCATCCTGCGCTCTTCCCTCCTCGGACTGCGTCCGCCCTCCACCGTGTCGCCCTCTCGATCGCCATAGCTGATGCGCGTGCGAGCCGACGCGTACTGCGCCATGTCGTCGTCTGCATCGTCGTCAATGCGCGCCGACATGCTGAGCGGCAGCAGGTGCTGCTCGTAGCCAAAGCCGACCGAGTCGAGGCTGCCGCGCGTATCGCTCGGCGAGCTCAGGCCCGCGGCTGACTTGCGGCGTGGCGGCGTGACGCGCGGTAGTGTGGCTTTGGAGTCGTAGACGATCGGCCCGGCTGAAGAGGAGGAAGAGGAGGCAGAGGAGATGGAAGAGGAGCGCAGACGAGACGGCCCAGCAGATGCGCCCGAGTGTGGTAATGCGTCGCTGTGCAACGACGACGGCTCGTTGTGGGGGATTCGAGCGCTGGCGATGGCCGCAGCGACGGGGTCGGAGGACATGGCGAGGAGCGTGGCCAGCACGTGGGCTGCGTGGGCGTGAGGCTATATAGTGGCCGGCCGTGCCGAGGAAGGCTGCGCCACGTCGCCGAGGAGCGTGCTGGAGGCGTGCGCGTGTTGCGTGGAGGAGGAAGGAAGCGTGGCCGTGCGCGGCTTGCCTGCCTCTGCGCTGGCGTGCCCCGCGCCTCCGCAAGCGCCTCGCGCTGCGCCCACCGCCGCGCGCCAACGCCGAGCCGCTGTTCCCACGCTCCGTGCCGCCGGACCGGCCTGCTTCCTCCCCTCTGGCCTGCTTCCTCCCCTCTGCGCTGCCCGCCTGCAGCTTGCTCGTGAGCGCCGGATCAGGATACGTCGAAGACAGTCTTGAGCGTTTTGGAAAGTCTCGAGCTGCGGCCTGCCTGGTGCACAAGTGATGCAGCGATCCGCGGCAATGCCGCTGCGAATCGACGCTCGGCGTGCTCCACGGTTAGCTAACGCCTCGCCTCCAGCCCGCTGATGTGCATTTGTAAGGGTGTCTCGCAAGTCCGACAGAAGGCTCTCATACCGACACCTGTACGGTACTGTGGAATGTTCACGAGGCGCTCTTGCTGAGATCGGGCCCGGAGGACGTTGCCCTCATGCGACGTCTTGTCCCGCCTTGTTCGCGCACGCGCACCGCTTCCTTTGTCCCTTGCGCGCGCGTCGAGGACAAGGCCTTGGCCGGCAGGCCGCTGCCTCACCCCTATCCACCTCCATCACTCTCCGGCATGTCGCTGCTCGCCTCCTACGCCGGCACGGCGCTGCTGTCCGGGCTGCAGACCTCGACGCAGGGCTTGCTGTTTGTGCTGCTGTGCGGCGGCGCGGGCCTGCTGCGCACCTGGCTGCGGGCGCGTGACGAGCGGCTCGGCCTGTCGCGCTCGCTGCGCACGCCGACGGACCTGACGTTCTGGCCGCGCTCGTACGCCGGCAGTCGCTTCCACTCGCGCTTCAACAGCAAGTGCAGCAGCGGCGCCACGACGCCCGAACTCATGAGCCTGAGCCCCGTCAGCGAGGCGTGGAGCCGCGGCAGCAGCAGCGGGCAGACGACGCCCTCGCCGCCGACGCCGCGCGCCCTCGCGCCGCCCACGCTCGGCTGCTGGCCGTGCTGAGGATGACGCGCGCCGGACCAGCCCCTGAGCAGCAGGCCCCCCATCATGTAGCGGCGGCGACATCATCCTCTCTGCTGGCGGCCTGCCTCGCATAGACACTCGCCAAACGGGCAATCTGTTTCGAGGCGCGTCGCGTGGCGAAGCAGCCCCTTTGGGACGACGCGCACCTGCCGAAGCGGGCCAGCGAGGGGCACACAAGCGGACCTCCCTCTCCGACTGCTCCCTCCTTCCCCTCCACCACTCCCACCCCTCTCTGCCGCCATGTTCTATAGCGCCGACATCCTCTCGGCACCCAAGCGCGGCCTCGGCATCGTCTGGTGCGTCGTGCACCACCCAGTGCAGCGCACCGCCCACCTGCCCGCGGCTCACCCACGCACGTCCTGCAGGCTGGCTGCGACGCTGGGCGCCAAGAGCACGGTGCGCAAGCTCTCGAAGCGCGACATCGCCGCGTGCGACATTACAAAGACGTGCGACAGCGTCAAGGACCCGTCTGAGCCCATGGCGCTGCGGCTGTCCAGCCAGCTGCTCTACGGCGTCGTGCGCATCTACGTGCAGCAGGTGAGCTTGCCATCGTCCAGGAGCGTGGGCAGTGCTGAGTGTCATCACAGGCAGAGGCGTGGATGGGCGACGTGACGAATACGCACGCTGCTCTTCGTCGAGCTCTCACCTTCATGTCAGCTGCCGCAGCAGCGCCTGGCGTCGTGGCCGCTCGCGGCGCACTCGACATGCCTGTCGTTCGACGTACCGGCGGCGGCACCGACGCCATCACGCTCTCGGCCAACACCGCCTTCTTCGCCGGCGACTTTGACATTGACTGGGCGTGGGAGGGCGACGTTGTGGCCGACGAGAGCTCGGGCATCGGCTCGGCGTTCCTCGCTGGCGCCACGAGTGCCGGCATGCCCTCGGCGCGCGGCTCTGAAGCGGCGCCGTCGCCGAGACGCAGACACACCACGGACAAGGAGAACATCACGCTGCGACGCGAGCGCTTCGGCGACTTTGAGGGCGATGCTGATGGCTCTGAACTCGGACTGGGCCCGCGCGAGAGCATGCAGGACGACCGCTTTAACCTTGGCGACGACGACCTGCAGCTTGACCTCGGCCTCGAGGATGCGCTGCCTCCTGCGCCGCTCGAGCAGGGCATCGAGGAGGAGGGCCGGCGTCGTGTGCCGGGACGCGACAGCAGTGCGCTCGGCTTTGGCGATCTGGGCGGCGACATGCCGGGGGACGATGAGATGCCCGGCGGCGACTTTGGCTTTGGTGACGACGAAGGGTGAGTGGTGTGTGAGCGAGGGTGGCACACATGCTGATGACGTCCAGCTTCGATTTCGGATTGCACGACGCACCGCTGGGCGCGACCGAGCCGGCCGCCCACGGCACGCCTTCCCGCTCATCGCTCAAGCGCACGCCGTCACTCGGACCCGTAGGCGACGACTCTGGCATCGGCGTTGGCGCTGCGCCAGCCAAGAAGAAGAAGGTGGTCTTCGCGCGCGAGGACACCAGCCTGGTGCTATCCGACGAAGAGATGCTGCGCAACCGCAAGGACTACGTCGAGATCATGCGTGCTGCTCGCGCCGCCGAGGAGAAGCGCGTGCGCGAGCGGCAGGACGACATTGCGGCCAAGGGCATCGTGTTCGGGCCCGGCTCGGACAGTGAGTGCTGCGTGAGCACTTGTGGGCCTGAGGCTGACTGCGGCCTCGTCTAGTCGGCGGTGCGCCGCAGCTGGCGAGCATCTGGGGCCTCGTCGTCACCGGCCGCGTCAACGAGATTGGTGAGTCGCGTGTGGCCTGCACCTGACTCGCTGCTGACGCCGCTCGCAGAACAATTCTACGCCAACATGCGCATCGGAGGCGCACCCGTCGCTGCCGCGCCCGCAGACAAGGGCGTGCAAGACGCGCCGGCGCCCGAGCGCATGGACCTCGACGAGCCGGCCATGGGCATCGAGTTCCTGGGTCAGGACGACATGCCGCACATGGACGACATGCGTGAGTCCCTCGGCGCTGTCGCACTGCCGCCTGCTCACCCGTACCTCCAGCCGACCTCATCGGCTTTGGCGATGCGCCAGCCGCCGACGTCTCTGGCAGCGTGAGTGGCGCATATATGCTGCCTCGAGCCTACGGCTGACACCCTGCACCAGGACAACGCGCGCGAAGTCGGCCGTGGCAGCGGCAGCGAGGCCACCGTGCGCGCCGCGCTGCCGTGGAACGTCGCCGCGGAGGCCACGCGCACGCTCGATGACACGGGTGAGCGCGTCGTGTGCTCCTTACACGGCAGCCATCTCAACACTGCTCCCGCAGGACTCGGCGACCGTGACAGTCGAGCCGGAGACGGCACGATGCGTTCCTTTTCGGAGGGCGACATCACTGGCCTTCGGTGTGTATGCGCGTCAAGACCGCGCCGATCACGAGCTAACGCGACGATGCGCAGTGGACGCGAGCGCCGCGGCAGCTCCATGATCCCCGACAGCCCCGGTGGCCGGCGCGAGAGCGCTGCGCGCGATGCATCCGTGCTGCACGAGAGTGAGTGAGGGTGACTGTGCTTCTCCACGGTGGCTGACGATGCGTGCAGGCCGCCGAGACGACCCGACGGGCCTTGAAAGCCAGCTGGTGAGCCTCCGAAAGCGCTGCGCCGCGCTGTCAGCGCTGACACCCTCGCGCAGATTGCCGAAGCGCTGGAAGGCGAGCAGTTTAACTTCCTAAGTTTCGCTCGCAAGACCGCCGAGGAGGTGGCGCCCGAGCCGCTGTTCTTCAGCGACCTCGTTCCTGTTGCCGACTCGATGGTGCGTGCCGGTGCTAGACCCGCTGCTCGACTATTGCTGACTCGTGTCACAGCCGCACGTCGCTGCGCAAGCGTTCTACCATCTGCTGTGTGAGACTCAACGCTGCATGCCATATCTCTCTTCTCTCACACACACCGCCAGCGCTCGCAACCAACGACCGCATCGCAGTGGCGCAGACGGACGCGTACGGGTGCGTGAGCTTCCGATGCGTCGTATCATCTCACGCTGACACGCAACTCGTAGAGAAATCCTGGTCCAAATCAAGACCTGATTGTCGGGCTCGCCAGACAGTCGCACCGCGGGACCGCTCGCCACCATGTACACGCAGCGCAGCAATCTGAATGTAATTCGATTCAGAGCGAAGCGAGCGGCAGGCTAGTGAACTCGTATCCCACGCCGAAGTCTCGCGCATATCCGGCCAGGGCGTCATCCGGCGAGGCGTACTTCAGAGTGTAGCCCCGATACCTTGTCCGACGTGCGATTGACCTGATAAAGTCATTGTGGAGAAGAGGAAAGTGTGCTTTGATCTGCAGGTAGACTCAGCGGGAAGGCCTGGCGCTCGATACCGCAGCAGCACTCACAGGCGCATACGTCTCGATGCCGGTCGCGCGCAGAAGGTACCACGCGCACGTATAGACGACAACAACCAAGCGTTCCTCTGCGGGCCCGAAGCTCATGCGACCAGAATTGTTGTCAACGCAGCGCCTGTTCATGCCACGCGGCGCCAGTGTGGCCCCTGCAAAGGCAAGGGGTCAGCAAGAACAACACAAATGCTGGACTGGCCGGTGATGGGGGATCCGAGCTCGGCAAGCACCGCCTTCGCGCCGGCGCGCGCGCCTCTGCGTCTCGGTCTCAGCGCCTCGTTACTCACCGGTGAGGATGTTGGCCACGTGCTCGCTGAAGTACAGCTCGGCGCGCTGTGCCCACTCTCTGAGCTTTACCGGCTCGTCTGCGATGGCAGGGTAGTAGAGTCGGGCTCTTTCCTCCCACTCGCCCAAGCTGGCGGCATCCGCAGCGGAGATGACGGGGTGGAAGGAGATGTCGAAGCCTTCCGCCGCTGCTGCGTTGACGTAACGGCAACTCGACACCGTGAGGTGCACCTCCTCTCGAAGCTCAGTGTTGCGTGTCATGCCGACGTAGAAACGTCGCTCCACACAGTGCGCCTGGCTTGTCTCGTCGACCTTCTCTGCCTTGACAATGTAGATGCAGCCGTTGTTGCTGGAGCACCCTTCAGCAATCAGCTCTTCGATGGCCTCGTTGGAGAGCGGGCCCCGCGCCTTGCTGATTGCTGCACGCCAGGCCGGGTTCGCCTGCATGAAGGACTCGAAAGCCTGTGCACGGCACGGCGTGAGTACTGTGCAGCAGCGACGGACACGCAACTGCCTCACCGCTTCGTAGAGAGCTGGATCGCGGAGGAGTACCTCGTCGAAGTTGAACTTGGTAGGATCATGACGGAAGCGCGCGCCCGTGTCGGTGATCTCGAAGTTGGCACTGTATGCAGGAGTACGCCCCAAGCGCAAGGAAGGCCTGATACTCGGGTGACATCGTGATGAGGAGGGACGTGAGAGGTGTGTGGGCGGAGAGAGAGAGAGAGAGCGACGGCACGCCTGAGCAGGGGAAAAGGAAGAGGGGCTGGAGGCCATAGGGGGTTGCCGCCCCAATGACCTTAAGCACGCGCTGCGCCAAGTCAGGGGCGCCATTCGGCGCACACCAACGCTGGTGCCCTCTGCCCTACCACCATCACCATGCCGCCCGCCCCTGTTCCGCAGGACGTGCTCGACACCATTGCCCAGATCTGCAGCGCAATGGACGACGACGACGCTTCGCCCAGGGCTTCGCCCAGGGCCTCGCCCAAACACACCAGAGTATGCTGGAGTGCGGCTGCCAAGCGCAAGGAAGGCGCGGAACTCAGGCGACATTGCAAGCAGAGAGTGTGCAGCAGAAGCAAGAGACGTGCAGGTGGAACGAGAGCCGCCGTGCGGGCGGGGCGGAGTGAGAGCCGTGCACGTAGAGATGGTGGGGGCAAAGAGAGCATGCCACGCGTGGCGGCGCGCCCTGCTGCTGACGGAGACCGCTCCCACGGCGCCACGTGGCACGCTGTAGCCTGAGCGGGTGCGAGCATGCGCTGCGCTCTGCGCTGGGTCGCACCATGACACGCTCCGTTGATCCATCTGGGGTCCTAGCTGCGTGACATCTGTCTTTGAGGCTTGCGGCTCCATGCCTGCGGCTCAAGTAGCATTATCCTCAAGCGCCCTGCTCGTTCTGAGGGTATGCTGGGGCATGGGATGCAGAAGAGAAGGAGAACGAAGGCCGAGGAGGGCATAGGGGTTTGCCGCGCCACTGCCGCCGCCACGCCGCGCGCGGCGCTGCGCCGCCGCCGCCGCCTCTGGGTGCTGGCTCGCGACTGGCTGCGCCTGCGCCTGCATCTAACTCGGCGAGCCTCGTCCCCGCTGCACACCTCCCACCACCATCCACATGCCGCCCCTTCGAAACTGGGAGGCTATCCCTTCTCTTCCTCAGCACGTGCTCGACACTGTCGCTCGCATCTGTAGCGTGATGAACGACAGCGACTCGCCCATCGCCTCGGCTCCGGCTTCGCCCACCGCCTCGCACGCCGCCCTGCCCTCGACGTCCTCTGCGCCAGCATCTGCGCCGCTGCCCACCAGCACCAACCCTGCAAGTGGGCCGTCTGCGTCGTCCGTTCCTGCGTCTGTGCCGCAGCCTGCCACACCTGCTACGGCCTTTGATGCGTCCGCCAACGCGCTAGGCAAGAGGCGCGAGCCCGTCTCCGAGAGCGAGGGAAGCGAGGAGAATCCTTCCGGTGAGTGATGCAGCCCACACGCTCCCCGAGGGTGCGGCGTTCCGCCCCCCGCTCGAGCTCTCGTCGTCGCTCGCGCTGCCGCTGTCGGTGTCGCTCGAGCTGTCATCTCTGCTCTCGTGCTCCGTGGCAGCCGCCTGCTTGCCACCGAGTGGGGCGAGCATGCGCTGGCACACCGCTGTCCGCAATTGCAGGCGTGTGGATGTGCCACTGACGCCTTCTTGAGCACAGTGAAGATGTCAGAGGTTCCTGAGGCGGACGCGCGCGCCCTCGTTGAGCACAAGAGTACCTTCGACGGAGGCCACTTCGAGCATGCCCGCCAGCACCCGGAGGGCGTGACAGAGGAGCACTGGGACTTCTGGAAGGCCAATGTCCCGCCGAAGGCGCCCTAAGGCTGCGCGACGCGGCCCTGCTTTGCAGTCCGCTCCTTTCCTTGTCCACGCCGGGCGCCGCGATCCCCCCCCCCCCCCCCGAGCCTGTCTGCATCTCCGCTCGTCGGTGATCACATTTCCTTCTCTCTCACTGCGGCATCTTTGCCTTCCAGCCACCCCCAATGACGTCGCGTGTCTCGCCTCGTCCCACTTGAATCACACCTTACACTTCGCTACGATCCCTTCTCGTCGAGCCCACGGCGCGCATGCTTCTGACTCGCTCGGTGTACGAAAGACGTCGTCGACTTTCGTCAAGACTGCCTGAAAAGTGTCGTGCCCACGCACGCGCAACAGACGCGACCTGCGTCTTGCCTTGAGGGGCAGAGAATAGTGCCGCTCTTCAGCTAGCGTCTTGCGCCTTGGCTCACTCTTCTGCCCGCCGAGGGATGTGCTGAGGAGAGAGGCGACACGGGAATGTTTGGAGGCAGCGATGCTACAGTGGTACAGCGGGCACGGATTCTCAGACGGCGATGCAGACAGTGACGAGGGAAGTAGTGAGAGTCGAGTGGGCAGAAGGTGGGAGCGCGGCCGAGCTGCGCCGCCGATGCGCCTCGGAGGCTTGACGCTGCTTGCCGTGGGCTACTTGCGGCTGGGCTGCTCGCGGCTGGGCTGCTTGCGGCTGGGCTGCTCGCGGCTGGGGGGCTTGGAGCCCGACGCCTTGGAGCCGGGAGCCTTCGAGCTCGGCGCCTTCGAGCTTGACGCCTTGGAGCCGGACGCGCTGGAGCCGGGAGGCTCGGGTCCCAGGCCAGGAGGCTTAGGTGCGGGACCCTCGGTCCTCACGACCTTGCGCGGCGCGTTCTCGGGCGCCGCGCGGCGCCGGCTCACTTCCGCCTCGATGGCACGCCACTCTTTGAAATAGACGCCCATCACATAGCCCTCCAGGCCCTTGCCATGGCCATGGAAGCCGTACAGCATGCCGTCGTCGTACATGTGACGGCGGTACGCCTCGTGCTTAGCGAGCTGATGACTGATGCCCTCGACGAGGCCGGAGTGCTCGAACATCAGCCGGCACGGCATCATGCCCTTCTGGAACGCCTCGTATGTGAGCGCCGCCGGTGCCGGCTCCACGGCGGCAGCAGGCGTCGCTTGCGCCTCGTGCGCAGCGGCGAACGGCACCAGCGCCGAGCTGGGCGCGGCAGAAGGCGCTTGCGCCTCGTGCGCAGCGGCGAACGGCACCAGCGCCGAGCTGGGCGCGTTGGACGACGCCGGCGCCTCGTGCGCATCGGCGGACGGCGCCGGATTGATCGCAGGTTGGCGACGTGCCTGTGCCTGCTCGTGGAGGCGCTGAAAGTGGTGGAACCCTCTGCGAGGCAGTCCAGCGAGCACCGGGCGGGGGTCTCGGGGCTCCGGGATGGAAGAAGAGCTCTGCCGGAAGCCGCTGCCGCCGGGCGTGGCGCTGCCGCCGTGCGTGGCGCTGCCGCCGTGCGTGGCGCTGCCGCCGGGCGTGGCGCTGCCGCCGGGCGTGGCGCTGCCGCCGGGCGTGGCGCTGCCTCCGTAGTGGCGGAGGCCCTCGACGCCGGCGCTAGGAGCCGCAGCTCGCATGGAGTGGCCGTAGCGGTCGCCGGACTCTGCGCCCGCATGCTGTCCTCCGCCGTAGCCGAAGGCGCCGCGCAGCATCTCGCCACGGTAGGGCGCACGGGACTCGTATGCGCCGCCGCGGCGCGCGGCATCACCAAAGTAGGCGCCCTGCTGCTCGCGGTTGCCAACACGCATCATCTCATCGCCGCCGTAGAGGCTGCGACGCTCGTCGCCTGCAGGGCGCGGGTCGATCGCGTAGGCGCGGCGCTCGTCATCTGCGTAGCGCACCTCGCCGGCGTAGCGCGCGTCGAAGCGAGACTCTGTGCTGCCGCCGCTGCCGCCGCGCATCTCGCTGGCGTAGCGGGGTGTAGGGCCATCATGGCCGTAGGGACGACGCAACTCATCGTTGTAGGGACGATGCGGCTCGATGCTGCCGCTACCGCGCATCTCGCTGGCGTAGCGGGGCGCAGGGCCAACCTCGCCGTACAGACGGCGCGGCTCGTCGCCTGCGTAGCGCGGCTCGAGGCGACGATGAGCCTCGTCGCCTGCGAATTGCGGCCCGAAGCGAGGCATGGGGCTGAAGCCGCCGCTGCGCAGCTCGCTGGCGCCGCGAGGCACCGGGCCAACCTCGCCGTATGGACGATGAGGCTCGTCGCCTGCGAAGTGCGGCGCGAAGCGAGACACGGGGCCGAAGCCACCGCCGCGCATCTCGCTGGCGTAGCGAGACATGATGTCGTCGTCGCCGGCGTAGGCACGGCCGCCGCCATGCGGCGGCGGCGGGGCGCCGTAGCTGTATGCGTGGCCGTGCGGCGGCGGCGGGGCGCCGTAGCTGTGTGCGTGGCTATGCGGTGGGGGGGGGGGGGGGCGCCGTGGCTGTATGCGTGGCCATGCGGCGGCTGCGGAGGTGGGTAGGGCATGCTGAAGGGGACGATGAAGACGAGAGAGTAAAGTTTGAGGGGTGCTGACCCGGAGGTGGTGGTGGTGGGACGGAAGGCAGGTCGCCTCCACCGCGGCGGCGCCGGCAAGAGTCGATGGCGTGGGAGCGCCGATGGCACGCCGCGACGCGCCCCGGCGCCGGCGAGCTTGGGAGACAGCCCCCCCCCCCCCCTTGGCCTGCGCCTGCTCTCTCATGAGTACGCCTGTTGTGCTGCGGTGGCCTGCAAGCAGCAGCGCCGTGCTACATTGCCGGTCGCTTCGGAAGCTCCACCGTATATTCAGAGGTGCTTTCGGCGCAAAGCTGCCTTCACGTTCGACTCGACCCTCGCCATGTCCGTGCCCAACTACTCGCCCTCGCCACAAGCAAGACAGCACTGGCTCAGCCCGCCGGCACCGCGCTCGCCGCAGCCCGGTCAGTTGAGTCTCACGATACCGCGTTGGGCAAGGCAGCAGCGACGTTGATGCGCACGTCGGAACTGCTCCAGTGGTGCCCTCAACGCGCCTCAGCCTCGAGTGTTGTGCCGGGCCGGAGCGAATGCCGCTACCATTTCTGCACCGGCGCTGATGCCGGCTGCTCGCGAGCACACAGTCCCGTTCAATCAGTAGACGCTGGGCTTGACAAGGCCCTTCACTCTCCTTCTCGAGGGCCGCGGCATTGCATCTGCCCGGCGGTAGTCGCTTCGATGAGTTGCTCGAAGTGCACCGAGAAGGGCAGGCACGCCGTCGACAGCGCAGTGCGACACGGCGTTGGTGTCTCTGGCGCGAAGGAGCTACACGGGAGGCGCGACACGCGAGCGGTAGACGCCGAGAGGGCGAGAAGGCTGGCCGTCCAGGCCTACTTGGCTGGATGAAACGCTAAGCGACGAGCGGGCCTCGCGGCGAGGCACGCTGAGCCATCAACTAGTGCCCGCGCGTGGGTGGGAGACCGAGTGCGCTCTGCGTGGGCTCAGCTGCTGATCACTCCACCGTCACTCCGCCTGCCCTCTCTCGTCTCTGCATCTTCCACCGCCCGCGCATCGCGTTTGCCTTGTCTTCACCAGCAACCCCGGCCCGCGCCGCTCTTCGGCTCTGCCTCGCCGCGTGCCTGCGTTGCAGCCTCACCACGCCGGTCCATCTCTCTCACACCGACCAGTTCGGCATTGTTCCTTCCATGTGTCTTACCCTTTGCACCATGTCTGCTGCGTGAAGTCGTGTGATCAATGAATTGCGGCGCGGAGCGTACATGACCCAGCCGTGTCTGTGGCACGACTGTAGGTGTTGCGTGACAAAAGGAACGAGAAAGTTGGCACTAGTTCGAGCTAGTCGAGGTGCGTGGCCATCGTCGACGCCTCAGCCTCTGACGCAGAGCTCGGCTGGGCGCCGGCATGGGCGACGGGCGGTGCGAGCATGTCGGCGTCGCAGGCGCCAAGCCACTTCGCAGCATGAGCGACGGACGGTGCGCGCAAGTCGGCGTCGCAGGCGCCGACCCACTTCGAAGCGGCGGCCACGGGCGGCGCGCGCAAGTCGGCGTCGCATGCGCCGATCCACTTCGCAGCAGGCTGAGGAGCGGCGGCGACGGGCGGCGCGACCATGTCGGCGTCGCATGCGCCGATCCACTTCGCAGCAGGCTGAGCAGCGGCGGCGACGGGCGGCGCGAGGTTGCCCGCCGCTGCGTCGAACCACTTCGCAGCAGGCTGAGCAGCGGCGGCGACGGGCGGCGCGAGGTTGCCCGCTGCTGCGTCGAACCAAGGGTAGGGGCGTCCGCCCTGTACCTCGGCACGACGCAGCTCGAAGACTTGGCGCAGCGTCAGGAAGCCCATGCTGCGCTGCGACTCGGCTGCGAGATACTGCCGCAGCCCCTCGCGCCGCTTCGAAGCGCCGACAGCGCGGCGGGCGGCCATGATTGACGGCATCGAGCGCCCGCTGATCGTCCGAGCTGCCGGCAGCTTCTTGATTGACGCCAGAATGTTCTTGGTCTTGCCGTTCTCGAGGATGGCCATGTCCAGATCCATCTTCTCGACGCTGCTGAACGCCCCCTGCTGCATCACGACTCCCGTCACTGCGCGCGCAGTTGCGAGCATGTAACTCTCTGCCGATAACTTGACCTTGAAGGGGTTTGCGTTCGTGAGGGGCTTGAGGACGTCCGCGGCGACTGCCTGGACTCGGAGACGTTGCGCAAAGTCTGCAACAAGAGGCGTCTGCAGGTATCCGGCCTCGTTGAGGACGCGGTTGCAGAAGGTGGCCATCTCGGGCAGCGGCGGCTCGTTGTCCTTCAGCGCCTCTGCGAGGACAGCCTTCTTCTTATTGCGGTTCTGCTGCCCCTGGGCGGCCCTTTGTCTCCGTGCGCCTGATGCCGACAGCCCGGCTGCGGCTACCGCAGGCGCCGGAGCGTCCGACGCAGCCACAGCGTCCGACGCAGCAGCCACAGCAGCAGCCACAGCAGCAGACGTTGCCGGCGACGCCGCATCTGATGCATCTGCGTCATCCTCCGCCGCATCCGATGCATATGCGTCATCCTCCGCCGCATCCGATGCATATGCTTCGTCTGCCGCATCCGATGCATATGCCTCGTCCGACGCATCCGATGCGCGTGACGCACTCGCCGGAGCGCCGACATCCATCGTCTCGTCCCACTCTGAGTTGAGCTCGTTGACGGCGGCAGCCTGCGGCGCTTCGGCGGCGTTGGCGGCGCGGCCGGGCAAGACAGCGTGCGTGACGAGCACGCCATCGTCGGCGCGGCCGGTGTGCGGCAGAGCGGCATCGGCGTCGGACATGTCGAGACCGTCGATCGGCGCCGGAGGAGCTCCAGGAGCAGAAGCGAGGCGAGCGGCGCTTGCGCCGGCCTCGGCCGCCTGATCTGCGAGGCGAGCACGTTGCGCAGGCAGCGGCTTGGCGCGCGCGCCGCGCTCGAGGGCGTGCTTGGCGGCCTCGCGCTGGCCATGCTCGCCGGACAGCGCCAGGACGTCCTCGGCGATCAGCCTGAGACCGGTCTTGGCCGCGCAAAGATCGTACGGCAGAGCCGGTGCGCCACCTTCCTCCTGGTCCTTGAAGAAGAAGCTTATAGCCACCTTGACGGCTGACGCAGGACGGGGTCAGCACGCGCATACAGGAGGGGGGGGGGGGGCGCCGCCGATTGCTGCCTGTTTGACAGCACTGGGCCACGTTGCCGCGCTCGCTGCGCCACTGACGGCAAGACTTACCCATGGGCGTGTTCACGAATCCCACCTCACCGACCACACGGCGGCAGAACGCGTCGAGGTTCAGCAGCAGATCTTTCGCCTCCACGGGCGCGCCCAGATCCACGTTCAATTGCACACGCAGCTCGCGCATCGCATCTGCGAGTAGCTCGTGCTTGAGCTCGCGTGCAGAAAGCTCGTCCTCGTCCGACTGCCAATCTCCGTCGATGATGAGAGGCGACGAAGCCGAGCCGCTGCCACACGATGGCGATGCGGCAGAGGTGCTGCCGCGCGAGGACGATGCAATTGCCGGGCCGCTGGGCGCCGGCGCGGCCGCCGAGCGATGCGCGGGCATCATGCAGTCCTCGTTGTCGTCATCCACGGCCGGCATGGGAACGAAGGCGTAGATGGGCGGAGCCAGCTTGGCGACGCGGCCGCTGCGGCGAGCCTCCATGCTGCGATGGGAGACGCCGCGGCGAAGGAGGCTGTGACGGGAGAGCGCGGCGGTGAGAGGTGCCGTGGCGAGCGAAGCTGCTGCACGGGGTGCTGCGACGGGCGAAGTGCGGGGGTGGAAGAGAAGAAGAAGGACTGCGGTGGGCGAGGGCTAGGCTCGCAGCGCTGCACGCCCTCTCGCTGGCTGCGCGCGGCTCGCAGCGCGGCCGCCTGCACGACATGCCGCGTCGGGATGGAGCGCGTTAAGTGGTGCGCGTCACGCGCGCCATGGCCCGGGCGCTGACAGCGCCGTGACACGTGACCGCAGCCAGAGCGGCGGCGCGCGGCGCGGCGAGAATGCGCAGCAGCGCGATGCGAGCTCGATGGTCCCCACCTCTTGCACCACACTCGGCCTCCTGCTGCTGTCTCCTGCTGCTGACTCCTGCCGCGCCCACGACGTCGACCTCGACTCCTGCTGCTGACTCCTGCTGCTGTCCCCTGCTTCTGACTCCTGCCGCGCCCACAACGTCGACCTCGACTGCTGCCGCTGACTCTTGCCGTGCCCACAACGTCGACCTCGACTCCTGCCTACGTCTCCTGCTGCTGTTTCCTGCCGCTGTCTCCTGCCGCTGTCTCCTGCCGCTGTCTCCTGCCGCTGTCTCCTGCCGCTGTCTCCTGCCGCTGTCTCCTGCCGCTGTCTCCTGCCGCTGCCTCCTGTCGCTGTCTCCTGTCGCTGTCTCCTGCCGCGCTACGACCTCGACTCCTGCTGCAGACTCCTGCCGCGCCTACGACCGCACCCACGACCGCGCCCACGACCTCGACCTCGACTTCCGCCGCTGTCTCCTGCCGCACTATGACCCGACTCACGCTGCTGCTTCCCGCCGCCGCTGCATTGGGCCGCTGACAACTGCTTCCACGACCCCCGACTCCCGCCGCTGTCTTATGATGTCCCTCACCGCACCCACGACGACCTCCTGCTGCTGTCTCCCGCCTCTGACTCCTGCTTCTGCTCCCTGCCGCTGTTCGCCGGCCGTGTCGATCCCGCCGCCGATGCCTCGCAATGCCAACACCTGCTGCCGGCTTCGCTGCCTGTCTTGCCGCCGCTGCCTCTTGCTTCCGCCTCACGCCTCGAGTCGTGATCTGCCCCTGCCGCCGCTCGGTGCCGGCGCTGACAGGCTCGCGTTGCGGCCTCAGGACCTGCCTTACCTCACGCTGCGCCTCACGCTGCGCCTCATGCTGCGCCTCACGCCGTGGCGCCTCACGCTCTGTCTCGCGACCGCAACGATTCCCGCCGGCGTTCCTTGCGCCTCACGATCTTGTGCCCGTTCGATTCTGCCTCACCACTTGCTTCGTCGAGGGCCTGCATAGCTTCCCACCTGCCGCTTGGTCCTCCGTCACCGCTGACTCGCTAATGGCGGCTTGACCGTCCGTTGCTGCCTCACGACCTCGGCGTCTCTCGCTCCGGCCCAGATGTCTCGCTGCCCGCACACGCCTCATGGATTCGCGGTCACCTGCCGTGCTCCGCCTTGTGCTGACACCTTACTGTCTCCCACCCTGCGCCTCACGACCTGGCCGTCTCCTGCTGCTGTCGCACACGGCGCCTGCGCCCTCAGACTGCGGCTGCGATGGCACTAGCTCACCTGACAGCCCCCCGCCAGCCGTCTGCCGCGCCAGCCCGCGCTGACAGTCCTGCGCTCGACCTTGCCGCGACGAGCCGTCGCCGTCCCCCACCCGCTGACCGTGCTGCGGACGGACCTGAGCGCCGTGTGTAAACCGCTGCTGACGCCTGCCCGCCAATCTCGATGCGTCGACAGACCAGCCATCAGCAAGGCGGCCGTGCAAGGACGACCGCAACACGTCGACCGCCGGTGCGTACGCTGCATGTCCCCGTCGCTGTGCCGAGCGCACCTCGAGCTGACGAGCATCGCCAGACGCAGCAAGCACGCGATTCTCGAGGCGCCGTGTGGCTCCATCCGAGGTCAAACGCCGAGTACATCGCGTGAGCACCCTGCGTCGGGTTGGTCATCTCGCCCCGCTGACGAGGCATCAGTCTTTCGTCACTCGGGGCCGGAGACGCAGCACGCCGGGAAGCGCGCGTGGTTTCGCGGGCCAGCAAGGTGAGTGTGCATCGTGCGCACTCAACCAGCGTGCGCCGCTGAACTATCAGCAGCAGCACCACCGACGGCACGGGCGGCACACGCAAGCGAGTCGAGCGCAGAACGGAGCGCAGGGTGAGTCGACGCGACCGTGCCGTCGACGCCACCGCTAACTGTGCTTCCCCGCCGCAGTCGTCCGGCGCCGATCAACAAACGGCAAGACGCGCGGCAAGCGACACGCAAGGACACGCGGCAAGCGACGAAGACTCGACATCGAGGGCTAGGCGGGCAGAACAGAGGGTAGAGACGCTGGCGTGCCGCGAACAATGCCATGCATCGCCGCCTGCTGGCTGTCCGAGACTGCACCACGACTGTCCCGCCTCTCTCCTCAACATGTCTCTTGCATGAATGTCGATTCCTAAAACCCGTACTTCGAGCCGCCCTCGCGCTGCTTGGCCTTCCCGGCGGCCCACTTCCCCTCGAGGCGGTCGCGGTTTTGCTCTGCCTGGGCGACGAGGGCGCTGAGCTGGCCCTTGCGCATGGCGCGGTAGTTGCTCTTCTTGGCCTGCGCCTCGCCGCCGGCATCCTCGACCGAGGCGCTCGAGCCGACGGCGGCGGCGGCAGCGGCGTAGCGCGCATCGCTGCGGGCCGGTGCCTGTGCCTCGTATGCGGCGAGCGCGTCGGCGCCGGCATCGACGCTGCGCAGCGAGTCGGCCGCTACGCCGGCACGCGCCATCTCGGCGGCTTGCTCGTCGCGTGGCTTCTTGCCGCCGCTGGTCGCCGTCTCGTCCTTCTGCGACGCCATCCACGCTGCGTACTGCTCGTGCGCTGCCGGCGTGACGGGCACCCATGTGCCGTCTGGATCTTGCGACCAGCCGGGAAAGGACTCGGGCTCCTCGAGCTCAGGTGCCGCCCGGACCGCAATGGACCGCTGTGTTGGCGCAGCGACAGGCTTGAACGGTGCTGACGGCGCGGCGCCTGGGAGCACGAGCATCAGCACACAGCGCTTCGATCGCGATGCTGCATGGATCTCGCTTCGTCTCCCTATGCACGGCATACAACACTCACCACCCAGGCCAAAGAACCCGGCCCACTCGCTCTCTGTCTCCTTCTTCGCGCTGCTCTCCGCGGGCACGCTGGCAGAGGGCTTGCTGCTGCTGCTAGCCACTGGAGCGCTCGCATTCGGCCGTAGCGGCGCCGGCTTTGCGGGCGCCTTGCTCGGCGCCAGGCCCAGCATCGCGCGGAAGGCGTCGTTGCCTTTGGCTTGCTTCGGCGGATCCGCAGCTGCGCTCGGGCCGGGCGGCGGCAAGACGGGCGCTGTTGAAGATTCGGCCGCTGGTTCAGCAGGTGTTGCAGGTTTCGGCGCGCTCGGCGTCGGCAGCATGCCAAACAGGCCGTGCTTGGGCTTCTGCGCGCCGTCGTCTGCGGACAGCTTCGGACGCTTGACTGGCGCTGCAGCGGCCGAGTCATCGGCGCCGAGAGAGGCGAGCGAGCCGATGGTGATCTGACGCTTCTTCGGCGGTGCGGGCGCCTTCGTCGGTGCTGCCGCAGACGCCTTGGGAGGCGGCAGCATGCCGCTCAGGCCCGACTTTGGCGGCGGCAGCAGGCCGCCAAGCCCGCTCTTGGGCGGCGGCAGCATGGAGGAGAGCCCACCGCTGCTGCTTGCGGGCGGCGGCGAGGGGCGCGAGGGCCCTGCCTCGGAGCCCGAGTCCGAGTCTGAGTCGTAGCCAGACACGAGCGGCATGTTGGGGGGAGAGAGGTGGTGGAGAGCAGGAAGCAAGCGTGGCCGTTGCAGCGGCTGCAGGCAGCTCCCGAGTCCCGGCCGGCGCACGTCGGCCGCACAGCCCGGCGTCGACGTGGAGCGCGCCAGAGGGTTGGCAGGCCTTTGCCGCCGCCGAGAGGTGCGACTTAGGCGCTGAGCTGTCAGTCTCGCCCTGTTGGAGAGCAAAGAGGTCGAGCTTGATTTTGCACGCAAAGGATGTGCGCATCGATGCAGTGTGCGGCGAGGAGGAGCGTGCGAAGGCGAGCCTGCCCGTGCGCGCGCTCGACACGTGGAGCCGCACACTGGCGGCGTGCCTTGCACCGCGCCGGCGGGAGCGTGCGCTGCCGCTGGCCGAGCCTGAGCCGGGGCCGGGCTCGCTTTCCGTGACAGCAACGGCTCTGCATCCACCTGCCTCCGCAACCCCCGACTCCGCCTCCCTCCCGAGGCCAGCACAGCGCTCCTCGGTGCACTCGAGGCAGCAGCCGCGCTGCACCCCTCCACACTCCTCACCACTCCGAGTCGCCTGGCTCCACGGATGTCCGGCTCCTCGACGCGGCCCGGGCACGCCCCGGCGCCGTCCGTCGCCAACGCCGCCATGCTCTTCGGCACCGACGGCGACGACCCGTTCGCTGCCATCGCCGAGGCGCCCGAGGAGGAGGCGCAGGATGTAGCGCAGCCATCTGCGCCGCCTGCGCAAGAAGCCTCGGCGCCGGCGCAGCCCGCCAAGACGCAGCACGCCCACTCGCCCACCGCGCTCTTCGGCGACTCGGGCGGCGACGACTGGCTCAGCGCTGGCGGCGGCGGCGCACAGCCCGACCAGCCCAAGCTGGCGCAGCAGTGGGACTACTCGCAGCAGGAGGGCTACGGCCAGGAGCAGTACGACTACGGCACACAGGGCGATGCGGCACAGCAGCAGCCCGACTACGCCGCACAGCCGGGCTACGATGCGCAGCAAGGGTACCAGCAGCAGGGCTACGAGCCGCAGCAGGGCTACGGGTACGACCAGGGCTACCAAGGCCAGAACTACGAGCAGGGCCAGGGCTATGAGCAGGGCCAGGGCTACGAGCAAAGCCAGGGCTACGAGCCTTCGCAGGCCTACGACTACTCCGCCCAGGCGCCGCAGCAGGGCGGCTATGACCAGCAGGCCTCGTACGGCTACGAGCCGGCGCAGAACTACGGCGACTCGTACGGCGCACCGGCTGCGCATGTGCCGCCACCAGCGCCTGCTGCCCCGCCGGCGCCGGCGCAGTCGGGCGGGTATGCCTACGACGCGCCACCGTCGATCGGTTTCGGCACGGGCTCGCGGCGCGCACGCGGCGCCCAGGCTCAGCAGGCGCAGTACTACGGGCAGAGCCAGGGCTATGCGCAGCCAGCTGAGCAGTACGGCGCGCAGCCGCAGGCGGACCAGTACGGCGCGCAGGCGGGCCAGGACTGGAACGGCCAGCAGAACTACGCCTACGAGGGCGGATACGAGCAGCAGAGCCAGTACGTCCAGCAGGCGCCGCAGCAGAGCTACGATGCTGCCGGGCAGGGCCAGTACGATGCGGCTGGCTATGCTGCCGCCGGCTACGAGCAAGCGCAAGGCGGATACCAGCAGCACGCCGAGGGCTTCGGCCAAGGCGGCCACGAGCAGTACGGCGAGGGCGGCGCGCAGGCAGGCTACGACCAGGCGCAGTACCAAGCGCAGGGCCAAGGCTACGGCGCGTACGACGAGTCGCAGGCGGGCTACAGCGGCGCCGCATACGAGCAGCAGCACGCAGGCTACGACGGCGCAGAGCAGGCCACGCACGCGGGATACCCTGCGCAGTCAGAGTACGGCCAGGGCCAAGCACACAGCTTCGAGGCCGGCGCTGAGGACCCAGAAGGCGGCGGCGCGCTGCCTGACGCAGACCCGCAAGACGTCTCGGCGGCGCTCGAGGAGCCATCTCAGCCTGCGCCTGGCGCTGCGGCTGAGACGCCGACTGGCGACGGCGCGGATGGCCTGCCCGGCTTCGACCAGCCTCAGGATCCCGAGGGCGGGTGGGACACAGGCGACGACAGCGGCGCGACAGAGACGGAGCCGCCGCGGAACGCGTGGATTGGCGGGCTGGAAGAGGCGGCCAGCGCCGACGTCTCGCTGGCTGGCTCGGACATTCTCTCGCCGGGCGAAGACGAGCAGGTGCGCGATGTGCCCAGGCTCCTCGTCACGCCGACGACAGCCGACGACGGCCCGCCGTCTGCTGGCACCGCGCGAGCAGGAAGCATCGACGCAGAAGCCACGCCACCCGCCGTGGCGAGAACAGTCGCTCTGCCGTCGACGGACGCCGAGCCACAAGCAGATGCCGATGCGCAGGACGATGTTGGCGGCGCGGCGGCCGCGCTCGAGGAGCTCGACCTGAACGGACAGGCCAACGCCGAGGCCGCCGAGCTGACGGCTGCGCCCGACTCGCACGTCGAGACCCTGCCGGACACGGATCCTGCGTCTGCAGAGCAGCCAGCCCGCGACGATGCTGAGCGGGAGCCTGGCGCGTACGGCTCAGTCGACACGTACCGGGCGCACGACGAGGCCGACCCCGAGGGCGGCGCCGGCGGCTATCAAGGCCAGTACTCGGGCGAGGGAGAGCAGACGTACGACGCAGAGGGCGGCTACGCGCCGTCTGGCGATGCATACGCGTCCGGCGCTGGCTTCGACGGCGCGGCGGCGCCCGAGGCGACTGAGCTCTCCGGCGACGGAGGCTACGGAGCTTATGGCGCTTCCAACGCCGGCTACGGCGCTTACGACGCACCGCACGACGAGAGCTCGCAGAACGGCTATGCGCCCAACGACTATACCGCTCCGTACGCCGCCAGGCCCTCATCTTCAGGAGAGCCGTATCCTGCGCAAGAGAGCTACGGCCAGTATGACGCAGCGCCAAGCTCATACGCGCCGCAGGGCTACGGCTACGCTCCGGACGGCGAGCATAGCGCGCCTGCTACCGGGCACATCGAGGATCCGTACGCGCCAGTGGAGGGAGCCTACGCTCCCCAGACTGCCGCCGACGACCCGTACGCGCCGCGCGAGCAGGCCAGCGGGACCTACGCATCGCAGGAGTTCGTTGGCGGCCACCAGGCGACCGACGATGTTTACGGCGCGCCATCGACGTACGAGCAGCCAAGCTCGCAGAACGGACTGTCCGCGCCCGCGCCGTACGCTGCTGGGCCGTCGTGGGGCGCGTCGGGCGACGCAGGCGGCGCGTCTTCGGGCTTCAGCTCGCTGGGCGGCGGCAGCGAGGGCTACCCGCAACTTGCGCCGCTGACGCCGCCAGCACCGGCATCTGCCATGTCTTGGACCGGCGTGAGCTCGCCGTACTCCGAGGAGAGCTCGCAGCAGACGCCCGACGGTCTGTCGCTCGCGCGCTCGGGCACTGTCACGCAGCGCAGCTTCAGCAACCTCAACGTGCGCAGCGCACCGCCAGGCGCGAGCAGCTCGTACCTGTCTTCGCAGCAGCACGCGGGCAATCTCGCGCCGGCGACCTCGGAGTACGGGCCACCTACGTCGTACGCTGGCAGCTCGTACTCGCAGCACTCGCGCGGCACCTCCGGCCAGGCGCCCGACGCAGCCGAGGAGCGGAGGAACGTGCGGATCGCCGTCGCCAGCTTCGGCTTCGACGGCAAGCTCGTCACCTTCTTCCCCGGCGCGTCGGACCCGGCGTCGAGCTCTGGAGGCTACGCCTTCGGTGGCGGCGCGCCGAGCACGTCAGTACACGTCCGCCCACTCTCGAGCGTCGTCCCATCGCACACGTACGGCACCGCGCTCGACATCAAGCGCTTCCCGGGCCCAGCACTGGACGGTCCGGGTGGCGCAGGCGCAGGCGGCGCCCTGTCTCGTGCGACCGGCGGGCCGACGACGGGCAACAAGGCCAAGAAGGCCGCGCTGATCGCCTACCTCAATGAGGCGATCGCAGAGGTGCAGCGCGGCGTCGGCTATCTTCGCCGTCGCCCAAGCTTCGTCAACGCCAACGGCGCGCTCGCGGCAAGCGGTCTGCACGCCGAGGACGGTGCCTGGGAGGCGCAGCACGTCGAGGATCGCATCACGATGATGCGACTCCTGGTGCTGATGCTCGAGCACGACGGCAACGTCACCGCCAAGTGAGTGCCGCATCTCCTGGCACATGTATGCGCTCGCTAACGCTCCTTTTCAGCCCTGCCTTCGACGCCGCAACGCGGGCGCTGTTGCAGTCGGAGAGCGGCGAGGAGACGCACCCCGCCGTGGCCGTCACTCCCGCCTCGGACAGTGTGCTGCAGACGTACACCCTGCGCGCCTCGTTCCTCGACCGTATGCAGGAGCTGATTCTCGCAGGCGAGCGCCGCGAGGCCGTGCAGCTCGCGATGAAGGAGCAGATGTGGGCGCATGCGCTGACTATCGCGAGCTGCGTCGACAAAGACCTGTGGCGTACCGTCGTGGACGAGTTCATGCAGCACGAGTTCGCCGAGGACGCACCGCGGGACGGGCTGCCGGGCGGTACCGCGAGCGGCCGGCAGAGCCTGCGCGTCGCATACTCCCTCTTCTCAGGCCAAGCGCCAACTGCGAGTGAGTGTCTTCCAGACAATGAAAGTCCCGCTCTGCCCTGCTGACGCGCCGCAGTCACGGATGCGTTCCGCTCCAAGACGAGCTTCATGCCGCCGCAGGCAGGCCTGCCGAGCTTGCCGGGCGCGAGCACGCTGTCGGCGCTCTCCGGTGCTGCGCCGAAGCTGCCGCAGTGGCGCAAGGCCGCCGCGACGATCATCGCGAACCGCACGAGCGGCGACTCGGTTGCGCTCACAGCGATGGGTGACGGCCTCCTGCAGGCTGGCTGGACCGAGGCAGCGCACATCTGGTGAGTATACCGAGTGACCCCTGCAGACTCATATGCTGACATTCGCTCGCGTCAGCTACCTGCTCTCGCCGCAGTCAGCCGCCTTTGACGGCGTCGACGGCTCTGGCGCACGTCTCTCTCTGCTCGGCTCGTCAAGCCCGGCAGCGAGCAACGTCTACCTGCGCGACATCGACCACATCCTGCTCTCCGAGATCTACGAGTTCATCGGCGCGCTGCGGCCGGTGGCCAAGGGCGGCGAGACGTATCACGGCGCTCCGCACATGCAGGCCTTCCGCCTCGTGCATGCATACCGCCTCGCCGAGCTGGGCGATGCCCGCGGCGCGCAGAAGTACTGCGAGGCGATCGCTGCCGCACTCAAGGGCGGCCGCATGTCGCGCTACTACCACCACACGCTGCTCGCGCAGGTGAAGGAGCTGTCCGACCGCATCGTCGGCGCACCGCAGGTCGATGCCGGCGGCAGCTGGGTCTCGCGCAAGATCCAGCGGCCGACGATGGACGGCATGTGGGGCGCGCTCGAGGGCCGCTTCACCAAGTTCATCGCGGGCGAAGACATGGACGCGGGCGCCCCCGCTGGCTCCAAGGCTGCCGCAGCCAAGGCGCCACCCACCGGCGCCGTCGGGCCGTTCTCGCACTACAGCGCCATCACGCCCGACTCGATGTCGACGGCCGTGTCGCGCGCGCAGTCGACGGCCGACTTCCACAGCAGCAGCAGCTTCACGCCGGCGCACTTCACTGGCAGCCAGCCGTCGTCGCGCGCCGGATCCGCAGCTGACTTCCACACACGCGAGTCGTCGCCGCACCCCTTGTCGATGTCCGAGATGACGCCGCTGGCCACATCGCGCGACCCGTACGCCGACTGGCCGCAGGCGCAGGCGCCGTCGGACAGCTCGCGCGGCATGACGCGCTCCCCGGCGCCGTACAGCAGCGATCGCTCGTCGGAAGGCGCCTACGGCGGCCCGTACACGAGTCACAGCTCGGCCAATGCGCCGTGGGCGGGCAGCAGCAGCGGCGAGAACGGCGACGGGGCGCTACAGCCGGCGGAGGAGCCATACTATGGCTACCAGCCGCACGGCGCGCAGCAGCCGCAGTTCTTCTCCAACGCTGGTGGCGGCGGCGAGCTCAGCGAGGAGGGCGGCTTCATCTCGACCTTCGACGCGCTCGGCGGCAGCACGCCGCAGCCCACCACGCAGGCGAGCTACACGCCGCGGCAGGAGCAGCCCGCCGAGGAGGACGACGAGGAAGACGACCTCGGCTTTGGCAATGCCAGCACGCAGAAGGCCAAGAAGGCCAAGGAGGCCGCTGCTGCAGCTGCCGGCGGCGACAAGAGCGCCACGGCTGCGGAGCCTAGCAAGGAGAGCGAGAGCAAGCCGCAAGAGGAGGGTGAGATGCGCCACGAGTAGCTGTTCAGCGCCCACACTGACCCTCATGTCCCAATCTCGCAGCGAAACCCGCTGCTGCTGGCGGGTCCTGGCTCGGTCGCCTCTGGGGTGGCGGCGGCAAGAAGGAGGCGGAGCAGCCCAAGGCGAAGAAGGCGCATCTCGGCGAGGAGAGCGTCTTCTACTTCGACAAGGACCTGAAGCGCTGGGTGAACAAGAAGGTGCGCAGCTGCTCGTCTGCTGCGCCAAGAGCACTCGCTGACCCATCTGCAGGCCGGCGACACGGGCGCAGCAGCCGCTCCGCCACCGCCGCCGCCTCGCGCGCAGACCGCGTCACCCTCAACGGGCACCGGGAACAATGCGGCGCTGCGTCGCACGGCGAGCGACGTCCCGAGCGGGCCGCCACCAGCGGCCTCTTCGGGCTTCGCCGGCGCCGGGCCGCCTGGCTCGGCGCGCTCGACGCCGCCGATCAGCGAGGAGGGCGGCGCACCGTCGTTCTCGTCGCTCTCGCCTCCGCCGGGTCCGCCGGGCATGCGCGGCGCCCTGCCGCGCGCCCGCTCCAACCTCGGCGACCTGAGCCAGCCGCCGGCCGCGCAGCCGCCGATGCCTCGCGCAGCTTCAGCAGCAAGCCTGTCCGGGCCGCCGCCCAGCTCCAGCACACCGCCGATCCCCGGCGATGCGCCGACGCCGCCGCCAGGCGCGGGAAGCAAGGGCAAGAAGAAGCGACCCATTACCTCGCGCTACGTGCCGATCCCTCCATGATCCTCTCAAGACTGTCTCATGCCGCTCCACATCTCCCATGACACGCCCCGCCCGCAAGCAACGCCCCTCACCCATGCCCCGAAGCGACGATCCCAGCCTGCGCTCCTCTCTTCGGGATTGTCCTCTTGCACCAAAGCATCCATCTCCTAGCCCTGCATTGCGCCGCTTGCCTAGTCTTCCTTGTCTGCCTCCTGCTCCTCCTGCTCCTCCTCCTCGCTCCACGCCCACACCTGGGCCACCTCGCCGCGCCGCAGCGCCGTGCCTAGCACGGCGAGGATGCACGCCGGGCTGAGGTAGAGCAGCGCCGGCTGCGCGGCCTGGAAGACGTGCATCACGCCCATCGTCGTCGCCAGGCCGGCGATGTACGCCGCGAGCGTCGCGCGGAAGTACGGCCGACGGAAGACGCGGCGCGTGCGCGACGTCGGGTGTGCAGCGCGGTGCTGTGCGAGGTCGAAGCGCAGCGCCAGAGCGATGAAGATGCCTGCGAGCAGCCGTCAGTGGGCCGCAGCGGATGAGCACCTCATGCACACGCCTCACCGGGGATGACAATGTCGCCGAGGCCGAGCATCGTCAGCTTCCAGTCCGGCTCGGCGCCCTCGAGCGCGCGCTGCAGGCCGTCGGCAAAGTTCTTCGGGAACGTGATCTTGATCGGCCCGTCGAGGCCGCGCGCCACCGAGACCATGACGTCGGTGCCAAACACCCAGAAGATGTCGTACGCAAAGAGGCCGAGCAGCATGATGCCGCCGGTGCGGAACGAGTCGAGCGCCATGAGCGTGATGCCCGAGTGCGCGAGCGAGAGCGCCAGGATGTTCGACAGCACCCAGTGCTTCGTGTAGAGGTACGAGAGCACGATGGCACCCGACAGCAGGCCCAGCGGCAGCGACAGGATCGAGAGCTTGGTCGCAAAGACGGACTCTGCGGGGCGCCTGATGAGCTCTGGGACAGCTGCTGCCCACAGCGCACGTACCAGCAGCCGCCTTCTTTGCCTTCGACCGGCCCTTGCCCTTCTTCGCCGCTCGCTTGGCAGGTGCCTCGCGCGTGACGACCAGCCGGTAGGCGGTGAAGGATGCCCACCGCGCGCGCCCAAGGATGCCACGGACAACTCCATGTGCGGACTGAGGCAAGCACGGTCAGCCTCGGCGTCACAGCTGACCCTGCGTCCCATCTCCTGCGCGCCGCGTGCGCTTCACCTCTCTTGCGCTCACCTTCCAGACCGCAGCTGCGCCGACCACGCCAAAGTACGCGCCGAGCAGCACGTCAAGGTACCGGCGGTCGACGAGCTTGACAAGCACGTACATGCCGGCGAGTACGGCGCTGCCGAGGAGCGGGAAGAGGTAGGCCTCGCTCGACGTCAGCGCCTCGCTCTGCAGCGTCTCTTCGTCGTCGCTGCCGGCATCGGCGTCCGAGTCGGCGGCACTGGCGGGCAGCGGCGACGGCGGCAGCGAGGCGAATGCTCCGTAGTAGATGGGCACGAGGGCGCCCGACATCAGCGCGCCTGAGACGAGCACGTCAGACTGGTGCTGCTGACAGACGCGGCAGCGAGCGACGCACCATACGCCACGTAGAGCCCGGACTGCGACGCCATGGCGGCAGCGTAGCGTGGCGGCTCTGAGGACGCTTCAGTGCAGGCGCAGTACGTGCTCTGCGAGGCGGCGAGAGGACGAGGGGCTGAGAAGGGTGCGCGAAGGATGTAGTCGGGAGTCAGGCAGGGTGCGTTGATGAGCCTGATGACATCTCGGCGCGGCGCGCGGCGGCGGAGCCGCTCTCGTCCACCTCCGCGCGCAGCTTTACGCGGCGAGCCAAGCCATCTCCTGCTGATCCGTGCGTCGGCTGGTGCGCCTTTGCCTGGCTCCCGGCTTCACCAGAGCTCATACCGCAACAAGCGCTGACTCGGACAGCAGAAACGTGACAGGAAGATACGGCGAACTGCCAGTGCGAAGGTCGAGCACAGCGGGAAAGTGGCAACCTCACGGCCCGCGACTACGCCTCGACGACAGACAGAGGAGGCAAGAGAGTCCACGTCGCATTTCAAGGGCTGGCACACGGCACGAGCCCCGAGCCCAAATTGCACGATAATCTACGCATCTAAGACCGCGCCTCGCCAGCAAGTCCGGTGCCAGACTCGCTGCTGAGGGCCGCCGGTCCAGCCGGACTGCCTTCGCCAGCAAGACCGCGGCGCTTCTTGAGCACGTTCTCGATCTGCGAAGGACCGCATCAGCACAGAACGCGACGGCGAGACGCACGAGCGACTCACAAAGTACTCTCCGGCGCGGTAGCTGCTGCGGACAAGCGGACCACTGGCGACGTACAGGAAGCCGAGCTCCTTGGCCCGCGTCTCCCAGTGCGAGAACTTCTCGGGCGAGACATAGGCATGCACCTTCATGTGCCGCTTCGTCGGGCGCATGTACTGGCCGAGCGTCACGACGTCGACGTTGTGCTCCCGCAGGTCTGTGCAACTGGTCAGCTAGTGCACAGGCTCGCGCTTCTGACGTGACTCACCTCGCAGCGTCTGCTCCACCTCGGCGTCCTCCTCGCCACAGCCCAGCATGATGCTCGTCTTGGTGAGCAGGCTCGGCACCATGTCCTTGGCAGCCTTGAGCACGCCGAGCGTCTGCCGGTAGCCTGCCCGCCGGTCGCGCACGTCTGGCGTCGTGCGCTCGACCGTCTCAATGTTGTGCGCGAACACGTCGAGCCCGCTGCGCGCCACCTTCTCAATGTGCTCGCGGTTGCCCTGGAAGTCGGGCACAAGCGCCTCGACGAGCGTGTCGGGCGCCTTGAGCTTGATGTTGGAGATGGTGCTCGCAATGTGCGCGCTGCCGCCGTCGGACATGTCGTCGCGGTCGACGGAGGTGAGCACGATGTAGCCCAGCCCCCAGCGTGAGATGGCCTCGGATACGTTCTCCGGCTCGTGAGCGTCGACTGGCGCCGGCGCACGGGACGTCTTGACGCTGCAGAAGCGGCAGCCGCGGGTGCACGTGTCGCCCATGAGCTGGAGCGAGTGTCAGCCTTTGCAGTGCGGTGCGGCTTGCGGCGCCCTGGAGCACTGAGAGCGGCGCACGGCCCTCGCGCACCCTCTAGCCCAACGGCTGCCGCCTTTCGGCACTCACCATGATCGTGGCCGTGCTCGTGCCCTTCTCGCCGCCCCAGCACTCGCCGATGTTGGGGCAGCGCGCCTCCTCACACACGGTGGCGAGACCCAGCGCACGCACGTCGCGCTTGATGCGCGTGAAGTTCTTGCCCGTGGGAATCGAGGTGCGCAGGTGCGCCGGCAGGCGGGCGTCGGACGTGCGGCCCATGGCGATGCGCGTGGGCGCATCGAGGAGCGCATCGGCCGGCGCAGCGTCGGCGGCGAGGGCAGCGCGGAAGGCGGCGACGCGCGGGGACGGCGCCGCGGTGGCGAGCTGGCGCGACGGCCCGGGCGCGCTGCTGCCGGCACAGCTGGCCGCCGCAGCGATGAGGCCGGAGCTGGTGTGCTGGCGGAGGAGCGGGCGGGCGAGCATGCTGGGGGTGGGGAGTGGGCTGGGAGAGGATGGTGTGAGAGAGAAGGTGGGGCCGCCCAGGGTTCGTGGTGGCGCAGGGGCTGGCTGGTGCCGCCGGGCTGGGCCGGCGCAAGCGCAAGCTCGGCCACCGCCGCCCGCCTCAAGAGCCAAATCTGGGTGCCTGCTTAGTCACGCCGCCGCTGCTCCCACGCGCCGCGTCGCGCTGCTGCCGCCCGCCAAGGCGCGAAGTGTTGATCTCGCTGCGCCTGCTCCACACTCGCACTCCCAACACTTGCCTCCGCACCACTGCCTTCGCACAAGCCACCACGCATCTCTCTCTTCTCTCCGCATGTCGTCGCCTTCGCTGTCACAGCCCCCGCCCACGTCGCCCGGCACGCGCACCAGTCCGCGGCGGGCGGCCGGCGCGTCGCCCAAGGCCTCGACTCCGCGCACGACAGCGGCACTTGCTGCAGGCCGGCCGAGCCAACGGCCATCGACCTCGGCGCTCGTGCAGCGCACATCTCGCGGTGCACGCTCGTCGCCGCACTCGACGTCCGGCCCAGGCGGAGGTTCGGCCCGCGAGGCAAAGGAGCGCGCCGAGCGGGCGGCGCTCGAGCAGCAGCTTGCAGACGCCGAGCTCGACGTGCGGCGGCTGCGAGGCGATCTTGCGCGCGAGAGGGCCCGACGCAGCAGTGCAAGCGCTACAGATGATTCTCAGTCGCGCCGCCAGTGGGCTGCGGAGCAGGCAGAGCTCGAGCGCCGGCTGCGCGAGGCAGACGACGAGGCGTTGTGAGTTGCTCGTGTGACTGCGCTGGGTCGTGCTCACCGTCGCTGCTCTTCCAGAACTGCAATTCTTACTTCAACACCTTCGGCGCTTTCTCAGCTCCTTGGTTTTGGACCTGCGGCGGGCGGCGACAGTCTCGGCGGCGCCCTGCTGCCAGCGCCATTGATAGAGGCGGGCGGGATGGAGGAGACCGATCCAGAGGCTCGGCTAGCTGGGGCAAAGGCTGGGGTGAGTCCAAATCATGGTGGCTCGACATGTGGAGGCATGTGGCTTCGTCTCGCAGCAGACATTCTGCCCGCTTGCGCTGACGCTGGTCTTTTCAGCTTAATGCGCAAGAAGAGTTTTCAGGCCTGCGTCTGACCCGCGTGGAGACGACGGACCAAAGCAGCTCGCGGCGCGGCGTCTCTCTCCACTATGCTGCCGACAACGAGATGTTCTCATTGCAGCTGGACATCCGCGAAGACGCGGCGTCGACATTGTCTGCCGCCTCGACACCGCGAGTCGAGCGCATGCAAGCACGGCTGCCGTCCCAATTGCGAGGCTCGCTCGAGCCGCACGTCGCGCGGTACGTCCGCTGATCTGCAGCATACCATCTGTGCTCACGTTGCTTTCACAGCTGGGAGCGTGCAGGCGACGCGCCGGCTCTGCTGATCGCGGTCAGGACACGGCGGGCGCTGCTGCAGGTGCGCTCGAGGCTCTTTGAGTCGCTCAGCAGCGCACGGCCCGACCTGTGCCGAGGGCAGTCGACCGCTCGCGAAACGCTCACATTCGAGAATAGCATGTGAGCCGTATGTTGCCGCTGGCGCCGAGTCAAGCTGACGCAGCGCACTCAGTGGAGCCAAGCTCGTTCTCCGCTCGCCGGTGTCGTTTTCTCGGTGGGGCTCTGCTCGCTGCACGCTCTCGCTGTCCTCCGAACTGCCAGAATCCGGTGCGTTGCGCCTCGAACCCAGCCATGGGTGATCGCTGAATCAAACTCCCTGCTCCAGCCGAGGCAGACGCACGAACCGCGACGATGCTCAGAGAGCTGTCTGCGCGCTTCGAGGAGCTGCTCGAGGCCGCCGACCCAGGCCCGAGCCGCGTGTACGATGCCACGCTCGCCGTTGTCACCGCCTTCTTCGGCGACGGCGCACAGTCGCTCTAGGGCCGCAGTGCGGGTAATCCGAAAGCCTTGATCTGCCCCTGTCGAGCACGCGGAGCACGCCGCCGAGAGTCAGGGGCGCTTCCTTTAATTGATCGCCCCGGCCCGCCGGACCGCTTGAGTGATCTCGGTCCTCGCTAAGGCGACATGCGCACCACCTCTCCCGCCCTCGATTCTGACACCACCGACGCAGCCGAGGCCCTGCGCTTTGATGAGGATGGGGAGGGCCGAGGTGGTGTGGCCTGCCCGAATGTTCTCGTGTACGGCCACACGTGCGCTCAGCGCCGCGCTCCGGGCGCTGCGCGAGGGCGCGGCGCTGGGAGCGCGCGAAGGCGTGCTTCGGCGATGGCGTGCTCGCGCCAAAATCGTGCCGCATCGCGGCCGTGCGGCGCGTGCCCTCCGCACCTCCACAAGCGCGAAGAAACGTTGGCCGCACAAGGGCGATCAGCATGCCGAGCACGAACGCCCGTCGTGCCCGACCGGGGCTCGCAATGGCGGCAGCACGCCAGCGTCCGAGGGCCCCTCGCGGCACGTCGTCGGAGGGAGCCCTTAAGTAACGAGCATGGAGCAAGGCGACGCTCACGATATCCCATCTCATACGCAACCGCACCGCCCAGCATGCCCTCTTCCACGCTCGACATTCCCGTTTGGACGCCGCCGAAGCCGACGCAGCAGGAGGACTTGGAGTGGGCGCAGCTCAGCACGCTCGACCTTTCGCTCGTGACGGGCGACGAGTTCGACCAGATCCCCGAGGAGCTCGTGCGCGAGGCCGACGCCGCCTTCCGCCGCGACGGCTTTGCCTATGCCGTGAACCACGGCTGGTCGTACGAGCAGGTGCTGCGCCAGTTTGCCATCGGCCAGTACGGCTTCACGGGCGTGTCGGAGGAGGACAAGAGCAAGTACAAGGCGGACATGCTCGGCAAGGGCAGCTTCGTCGGGTGAGTGGGTGCAGGGAGGGCGCGGTGGCAGGTGCGGAGGCAGGTGGTGAAAGTAGCTGGGCAGTCGGCAGCAGCATCGCAGGCTGGCGCACTGCAGCTGCAACGCAGGAGCTGCAGCCTCGTGTGAGGTAGCTGCGACAGCCCGCAGCCAACCTCTAGCCCACGCCTGCGCTTGTCAAGTCTGCTCCGAATGGCTGCTGACGAATCACATCTTTCAGCTACAAGAATCAGGGCCACTGGAGGTGAGTTCAGATGAGCGGCAGTGGGGCAAGAAGTGCTGTCGCTGCAGCTCGCTGGCCAGCGTGCAGCTGCTGATGCTATTTCCGCATTGCAGCATCAATGGTGTCAAGGACCGCATCGAGGTGATCTGCCCCGGATAGGCTTGCTCTGCTCATGTGCTGACAGCCCTCCCTGCAGCAACTCAACTTCGGCTCGCAGTCCTTCGCCCCGGCGGCGCGCTCCTCGCTCTTCCCCGCGGCGCTGCAGCCGCTGATCCCCGAGGTGGAGGAGTTTGCCAAGTTTAACCACGACGTGATCCTGCGCAAGGTGCTCAACGTGCTCTCGCTCGTGCTCAAGCTGCCCGTGCACACGCTGTACGACCTCTCGCGCGAGCCCGAGAAGCGCGGCATCGACCTGCTGCGCTACGCCATGTACCACACGCCCGACAAGGCCGACGACGACAAGCTCGGCGGCGTGCGTCTGCAGGGCCACACTGGTGTGTGCTTGGAGGAGCGTGTGTGGTTGGGCCATGGCTGATTGTCGCTGCAGACTTCAATTCGGTGTCCGTCCTGTGGAGCCAGCCAATCACGTCGCTGGAAGTGCTCATGCCCGACAACAAGTGGCGCCTCGTCAAGCATGCCGACAACGCCGTCGTGCTCAACCTCGGCGACGCGATGCACTTCCTCTCGGGCGGCTACCTCAAGAGCTGCATCCACCGCGTCGTGGCGCCGCCGGCGGACCAGGCGCAGTACACGCGCCTCGGCTGCTTCTACTTTGCGCTGCTCAACGAGGACGTGCCGCTCGAGACGCTCGACAGCCCCGTCATCCGGGAAGCGCTCGACGGCCGCGACCTGTGGGCCGAGACGCGGGCCGCCGGCAAGAAGATTCCGACGGCCGGCGAGTGGGAGCGCGAGCGTGTGCGCCGCTACGGCCAGGGCGGCGCGAAGAAGGGCGACGACGGGCACGAGCACGAGGAGATGTTCGGCGCCAAGGTCACGCACTACAATGGCGAGCGCGCCGGCCAGCGTGCCGCCATCACGGCATAGATCGACAAGGCAGGCGTCTCGTTGCCGCCGGTCCGTTCCTGGGCGCTCTCGCCCTGCCGCCTCAACCGCGGCCACCCATCACTTGACCCCGCATCCCCCGCATTACCCCAGATCTAGCCTCTTGCCTCAGCACACGACCCTTCACGAGCTCCGATGCGTGACGCCCATGTAGCCCTTAGCAATCAACTCTGCTCCTGTCTATGCACAGTGCGAAGCGTTCCTGGCAGCGCTGTGCATGCGCAGCCGCGGCGCGACGAAGGACCGCACGCCGTCGAGCGTGCCTGGCGCAAGCCACCCCCGCATTGCTGCTGCGCGCGCCTGCAACTCCGCCCCTCCCGCGTGCTCACGGCGAGCTCGCCGGAGCCGGCGGCTGCGACACGGACAGTCCGGTAAGGCGGACCGCGAAGGCTATATGCGCCGGTGCATTGCTCGCAACATCGGCGGCGGCGGACTGCCCATTGCGTTACTCGCGAACCCTGCAGATGAGGCTCGCTCCGAGGTCGAGCGTTCGCTTGGGCGCTTCGAAGGATGGGACCCTTGTGCGTCGCGCACGCAGCACCCAGACAACGCATCTGGGGCTCAGACGCGGCCCGCGTCGCCTCGGCTGGCCGCATCTCCACAGTCCTGCGTGCGTTCTCGATCGATTGCGGAAGGCGACCTCCTCGGAGGGCGGCGAAGCGGGATCCGCCTCAGCGCCACACGGCGACGGCGCCTCGCTCTGTGGCTGTCCGCGGGGGAAGAGGCGGCGCGGGCTTACGTGGACGTTGGCAAACGTGCTGCTGCGCCGTGTGCGACGACTGCAGGCGCTGCTGCGCGTGCGATGGCCGATGTCTGTCTCGCGCGCGATGGCGGCGCGGCGCTTCCGTAAAGCCGCGTCGCCCATGTTGGGGGCGGTCCGGCGAAGCCGCCGCTCGTTTGCCGCTGCAGGAGAGCAGGAGCAAGCGCGGAAAGGCCGGCTGGACGAGGGCACGAGGACCTCCCCCGCACTGCGGGGAAGCCAGACGCGGCGGAGTGCGCAGCGGAGAGCGACAGCGCCAAGCCTCCCGGTTCGGGCCAATCACTGGCATTCGGTTGCGCGCGCAACACGGCGCAAGTGCCGGAGCAGAGCCAAGCCAGCGGCCCGCGGGCGGCTGCGCCCGTGCAGCGGCCGCCTTGCCTGACGCCGTCGTGCGGCACTGCACTGCTCAGGTGCGGATGTGCAGCACGCGCGGCCCGCATCAGATGCAGAACTGCTGACTCCGCCCGGACGAATGCCGCAGACGGCGAATGAGCCACGTCGCAGAGCTGAGCGAAGTGCCTGCGCTCGACACAGAGCACGAGCACGTTCGAGCGGTCCTCGTGGGCATCAGCTGACACCGCTTGTCGACGGAGCCCCGTCTGGCAAGGCATTCGAGATGGATCGCGAGCGCCTGGGCGCGCTCGACTGGTGAAGGCTTATCTTCTCGCGCGAGCTTGCTGGCCTCTGGAGGCATGACGAGAGGGCGTCGGAGTGCGTGGGCTTCGATTTCTGCGTGCAGCTCGCGGATCCAGCGCCAGCACTGCAGCACGGGGAGCAGAAGCAGACGCGGAGCCGCGGTGCCTGGCTGGAAATTGCTGTCGCGGCGGCGTGCACTCTGCGAGGGCACGCGTGCGGCGCAGCGGCGCAGGTGCTGCTGGGGCCACAGCAGCGCGATGCTGGCCGCCTGCGGCCGAGAACGTGCAGAGTGAGAGGCCGGGCAGCCGCCGGCACTGCGCGGCGGCTGTGCCTGCTCAGCCGCGCCATGTGCCCTCGGGCAGTGCGGCGCGGGTGCGCTCTTCGGCGTCGCCTCGGCTAGCGCGCCACTGCAGGAGAGATGCCTCGCTCGCAGCCGATCAGTGTGCGAGAGGGCCAAGAGGCGCAACCCTGTCCGGGGCAAGGCGGTGCAATCGAGGTTCGCCCGGGAGCGTGCCTGGGCGACGGCGACGCCCCTCCGCCGCCATCCCAGCGTCCTTCGCCGCCTGGCCGTGTCTTCCGGGCGCGGAGTCTGCCGCTGCGCTGCGCGCCGGCGTGCGAGGCGCTGAGGCATGTCTGTCTTGCGCTCTCGCGCCGATCGTACGGCGAACGCGCGCTCGATCTCCCCTTGCCAAGGCACTAGCGCACTGGCCTGCCTCGTTCTTCCAGCGCACGCCCGCGCTCCGCCTGCACAACCCTGCCGCTTCCCCGCACTCCCATTCGCCCGCCCCCGCATCGACGCGGGGAAGACGCTCGCCTATAAGACCACGCCTCGCCACACCCCAACCACTCACCCCGCATCCCTCCTCTCCACTCCCCATCCTCTCCATCATGTCGCACCCTGCCCAGCAGACGCCCGACTCGGCCTCGTTCGACGAGAAGAAGGTCGACGGCCTCGACGGCGGCGCACCCGTCACCACCACCCTCACCGCCGGCGTCGACGAGCCCGAGCACTCCGAGCACGACGTTGCCGAGACAAACCGCATAATGTCCAAGATTGATTGGCGTGTGCTTCCGGTGTGCGCGGTGAGTAGCTGCGAGTAGTAGAAGGATTCGCCGAGCTTGGGGACGGGTTGGTCGAGGCGCCGCATCAGATCGGCGGGCGGCGAGGCCGGAAACGCGCCTCTCCGCTCGCGCTGGGCTGGGCTGCACACATACACAGCGCGCTGTGGTCTGCCTGTGGTTCGACAGATGTGGTGGGAGAAGGATGTGGTGGTTGGCAGGCAGCCTCGCGCCGCCGTCGCGGCGCGGTGTGAGGCCGTGCGCGCGACGCGTCACGTGCGCGCCGCGCGCCTCGGTGCCCCTGCTCCTCCTCCTCGCGACCCCTCTGCACCATCCCACACTCGAGCAAGCCTCGATTGCCGCCTTTTGCACTTCTTCTCGTCCTCTCCATGTTGTCTGCAGCAGCTGCTGACATACTGCCGCCCTTGCTCGCAGGTCCTGTACCTGTTCTCCTTCCTCGACCGCAGCGCCATCGGCAACGCCAAGACGGCCGGCATGAACAAGTCCCTCAAGCTCACCGACTCCGAGTATGCCGGTGCCCTCTCGGCCTTCTTCGCACTTTATTGCCTTCTCGAGGTTCCTTCCAACATCCTGCTCAAGAAGTACGGCGCCAAGATCTACCTGCCCTGCATCGTGGTGCTCGTACGTTTCCCCCCTCCTTCCCCCTTCTTTCCCCTCTCACACCTCCTCCTCGCTTCAGTGGGGCATCATCATGATGTGCACAGCGTTTGTGAAGAACTTTGAGGGTCTTCTGGCGATGCGCATCCTCCTCGGCGGCTTCGAGGCCGGTCTTTTCCCCGGTGTGACATGGTACATCTCGACGCTCTACCCCCGCCGCGCCATCCAGCTCCGCATCGGCATGTTCTTCTCTGCGGCCACCATCGCCGGCGCGTTCGGCGGTCTGCTCGCCTACGGCCTCGTCCACATCCGCAACACGAGCATGGAGCCGTGGTCGTACATTTTCTTGGTGAGTTTTCCTACGAGGAAAGGGAGGGGGAAGGACGAGAGGGAGGGGAGGGGGAGGTTTCCTGTCTGACTTTGGCTGACTCGTCTTGTCGCCTTCAGGTCGAGGGCATCCTGACCATCGTCGCGGGTGTCGTCTCATACTGGGTGCTCTTCGATGGACACAAGGATGCGAAGTTCCTCACCGAGGCCGAGAAGGAGCACATGCAGTACACGCTTGCCCACGACGCGACGGCCACGCCCTTCAACACCTCGTTCCAGTGGAAGTTCGTCCGCGCCGGTCTCACGGACTGGAAGGTGTACTGGTGAGTCTGATGCGGCGGACTGTGCTCCAATCACCGTCACTCATCGATTATTCGCTTCATAGGTCGCTCCTCACGTACATCTCGTGCATCACGCCGCTCTACTCGATCGCCCTCACGCTGCCGTCCATCCTGCGCATCTCGCTCGGCTACGACCCGATCAAGAGCCAGCTCCTCACCGTCCCCGTCTACATCGTCGCCGCTCTGCTCGTCGTGGTGTTCGCCTGGGGCGCTGACCGCTTCGAGAACCGCTCCGCCGGCATGATCGCAGGCACCTCGCTGAGCCTCGTCGGCTGGGCGATCCTGCTCACCTCGCACACGCCCAACGTCCGCTACGGTGCTACCTTCCTCGCCGCTGCTGGCTCCTACGCCGCCTTCCCCTCGATTGTCGCGCTCGTCTCGCAGAACGTCGCCTCGACGACGAAGCGTGGTGTTGCCATCGCCATTCAGGTCGGCGTTGGCGGCCTTGCCGGCACCATCTCCAGCAACATCTTCCCCGCTCGCACGGCTCCCCGCTACGAGCTCGCGTGCAAGATCAACGTCGCCATGAACGCAGTTGCGATCCTCACCTCGGCGCTCAACGTGCTCTTCCTCTACATCGCCAACAAGAAGAAGCAGCGCATGCTCGACTCTGGCGAGGCGCAGCGCATCCCGCGCGAGGTGCTTGCCGACATGGGCGACGCCTCGCCGTACTTCAAGTACCGCTACTGAGCGTGGCGTGGCTCTCCACGCCACTCCGCTTCGAGCTTCCTGTCCCCGCCTCACCCTCTCTCGGCTACCCGACCCCGTCTCGCTCCTGTACCTGTAGACCCACGTCATTGTCTCTCACAGCTTCAACGATCCATATCCACACCTCGCCTGATCGAACTGTGTCTCGACACGTCTTTGGATCGAACTGTGTCTCGACACGTCTTTGGAGGGACTGCAGGGCGTCCCACCTGCAGCTTGAGACCCGAAGGTCGAGCGCACAGCCATGGTACTTCAGCAGCGGGGCCCATTCGCGTGGGAACAGCGCGCGGGGCGGCGCGTCACGTGCGCGCGCGCCCTGCACAGCCTCAGCTCGGGGCTCGAGGCGGCCGCGCGCCGGCGGCTCTCAGCCTAGGCATCCCTCCACATCACCCTCTCTCCCTCATCGATCTCACGCCCATGTCCCTTGCCGACGCGCTGGGCGAGCTGCACGCCATCGTGGCCGCACGCGTGCCGCAGCTCGCGCCGCTCGCCAGCCCGGCAGACCTCGCAGCCGCCGCGGCGGTCCTGCGCCCGCTGGCCGATGCGCTGCGCACAGGTGCGTCGAGTGCGCTCGCGCGCCGGCAGACTGCTCACCGAGCGCTGCACAGATGCGTCGCGCGCGGAGCTCGGCGAGACGGAGCTGCCGCGGCTCGTCGTGCAGGTGCTGCGCGCCGCCGTCGCGGAGGAGGGTGCGGGGTCCGCCGAGGCGCGCGTGCAGGCGATGCGCACGCTGGCGAACCTGGCGATCGACTGTGGTGCGTCTGGTGTCTGCGAGCGATGGGCCGGAGTGCTGACTCGCGGCGGCAGTCGAGAACCGAGATGTGCTGCTCGCGGTCGGCGCCGCGCAGCCGGTCATCGCGCTGCTCGCGCTGCATCTCGCCTCGGCGGGGCCCCTCTCCCCGGCTGCGCTGGCGCAGGTGCGCACGGCGGCCGGCGCGCTGCTCAACCTGACGCTCGAGCACGTCGCCGCGCAGCGCGCACTCCGCTCGCCAGAGGCTCTGCACACGCTCGTCGGCCTCGTCTGCGACGCCCGCCTGTACGTGCCGCTCTGCTGGACGCGCGAGCCGGACACCGAATGGGAGGCGCGGCAGAGCACGGCGACGTGGCTCGCGCGTGTGCTCAGCGATGCGTGCGCCGTGGAAGAGTCGCAGGAGCGCGCCGACGAGGCCGACGACCGGCGTGACAAGGACGAGCCGATCGCCGGGCTTGAGCACATGAGTCTGCACGCCGAGCCTCTGGAGACGCTGTGCGAGGGGCAGGGCTATGCGGGCCTCTTCCGTCCGCTGCTGCCCTTTCTGGACGCCACAGACGTGCCTGCGGGGCTGGACGCAGACGAAGCGCTCGAGCTGCTCTCGTCAGACATCGACCTCGTGTCCAGCCTGCTGGCACTCTTCGACGCCGCGTCTCGGCGATCTGCGTCGTTCCGCACGCGTGCGATGCTCGCGGCGCCAGAGCTCGAGGGCCATACCCACGCCATGCCGGCGTGCCCTCTGGCGCTCCTGGCTCGCTTCCTCGATGTGGCGACCCTGCCGCCCACGCTCAGCGGATCGCCCGAGCAGCCCAGCGACGAGGCCAAGGCCTTTGGGCTTGTCAAGGCAGACGCCGCGCGCGCGCTCGTTGGGATCAGCGCGGCAGACGAGAACATGGAGCTGCTCTTCGGCAGTGCCGGCGAGTCTGCGTGGTTCGTCGAGCTGTGCCGCGAGTGGCTGGCCCGGCGAGACCGCTCAGATCTGCAGAGCACTGCTCTGCTCGGCCTCGGCAACCTGGCACGCAAGGGTGAGTGAGTCGACCGGGTCGCGCTGCCAGCGCTGACTCCCTCTCCAGATGAGCATTGCTTGGCGCTGGCGCAACATGCGCAGCTGCTGCCGACACTATCGTCGCTGCTGGGCGCTCAGGCTCCAGACCCGAAGCTCGCGTACGGCGCCGTCGGACTGCTCAAGAATCTCGCGATTCCGGCGGCAAACAAGAGCGTTCTGGGCGAGCGAGGGTTCGTGTCCGCCGTTGTGCCCTTCCTGGCGACTCGATACGATGGCGTGCAGCCGCTGCAGTTTGCCACCGTCGGCCTGCTCAAGCATCTCCTCGCTGGCGTGCCAGAAAATGCCATGGCCCTCGTCTGCCCGCCTGCGACGCCCGAGGCAGAGGCGCCACTCGCAGCCGTGCTAGAGCTCGTCGGCCGCACGCAAGACGCGCCCACTCGGCTGGAAGGCACGCGCATCCTCGTCAACGGCCTGCGCGCACTCTTTGCGGCAAGTGCTGCGGGCGACAGCGACGACGAGCGGCGGCGGCGGTCCGAGGCGCGCTCCCGCTTCGTGCGTGCACCCGTGGCAGACGCGCTGGCTGCCATGCTGGGCGCCAGCAGCAAGTACCCGATCCTCACCAACGAGGCCATCTTTGCTCTGACGCTGCTGGCTTCCGAGTCTCAAGGACGTGAGTCGGTCTGGCTGCCGCGATCGCAATTGCTCACACCGCCCCTCAGGATCACTCGTTCTCGAGGCGCTCTTCCTCGCGCGGGAGGAAGAGTCCGACGAGCGCTCGCCGCGGGCGCCGCAGCGGCAGGGCACCGCCGACTCTGCAGCGTCCACGCGCACTGAAGTGCCCAGGCCGCCCAAGACGGCGTGCGACCGGCTGCGCCTCGTGCTCTGGACGCCCAACTCGTCGCCCGCGATTGTGGCCAACGCATGCACCCTCGTCAGCACGCTACTCGAGCCCTGCACTGCTGACACGCTTGACGACAAGACGCGCTCGCTTGTGCAGCAGGTCGCGGGACCGGTGCGCGAGCTTGCTCAAGGAGGCCGGACAGCAGAGGCAAGGGAGCGGCGAGGCGAGGGAGCGCAGCACGAGGTGGCAGTGAAGTTGTCGGCGCGCCTCACAGCACTGAGCAGCCAGGAGGATCAATGACATGTATTTCGCTAGACCAGCAGAGGACTGTCGAGGACACTGAAGCCGACAGCCACACCGCCCTCGTCGCTCTCTCGCGCCTTTGTCCGCAGCAGGTGCCCCTCGCTGTGCATGCGCAGCTCCTCGGCGCGGCCGGCTTGCGCCCGGAACAGCGCGAAGCCGTACGTGCCGAGCTCCGACACCGTGTCCTCGGCGCGGACGGCGGCTGCCTCGGGCGCATTGTCGCGCGTGCCGCCCGGCGGCGCGCGCAGCAGGTATGCCCCGCTGCTCGGCGGCACGTCGATGAGCTCCATCAGGATGTACGTCTGCTTCTCGTCGGCGCCGGGGCCGGCAGCCGCGTCGCGGGCACGCATCTCGGCGAGTGCGCGCGGAATGTCGCCGCGATAGACGTTGTTGCCGCCGCCCTCGCGCATCGGCTTGAGCACGAAACGATGCGCCTCCTCCTGTGCCAGGCGCGTCCCTTCCCGGCCCTCGTCGGAGTTGTCGAGCGGCCACATGCCCATGAAGCTCTCTCGAAGCGCGTCGACGTCGGTCGCAGGCAGCACTGCGCCCCGTGCCGGGTCCAGCAGGAAGCGTTCGAGCACCCCAGGCGCGGCCAATGCCTGCTGCACGCGCTTGGCGCCCGCCAGCTGCAGCGCAACGCTAGGGCACTTGATTGCGGCGCTGCGCTCCAGCAGTGCGCGCGTGTCCCAGTCGCTCTGTCCCTTGTAGTCGTCCGGCCCGTAGCCTGCACGGAAGTACACGACCGAGACGGCAAACGGCGAATTGTCGAGCGGGTCGCGCAGCTCCAGCTCGCCTGTGGACGAGACGGCGGCCGCAGCGCCGAGCGCGGCAAACGTCGCACGATGCACGCGGACGTGGTAGCTGCAGCGAGTGTTATCGTTGTGGCCCAAGACATGTGGCTGACACGACTCACCGCTCCGAGAGCTCCCACTCAATCGCACGCTGGTCAAAGGCATTGCGCTCGCCGTCTTGCACAACGAAGAGCACTCTTGCATCCGCCGCGCCGCGCTCCTTGACGTAGGCTTCGTGCGCAGCAGCCAGACCGCCAGCCAGACTTGCGAGGGGAGAATTGGGCGCCACCTCAGCGCCGGCGGGGAAGAGATGCGGATGCGCCCGCAGGAAGTGAGCGTGCAGCGCAGAGACGTGCCCTGACAGAGCGCCAAAGGACGAAGAGATGGTGTTGAACTCGACCTGCCTGAGCCGCGGCGCGCTCGACGAGCCGGCTGGCGCGTGCAGCAGATAGTCTGATCGGAAGAGGCCGAGCTGTAGCTGTGAGCGAGGCGATTCGTCAGCGTGCAATCTCCAAGCCTTCGCCTGGACAAGCGCTTCTGGCGCATGCCCGGCTAGTCGCTGGGCACGGCAAGGACGGCTCGTGCCGGGTGCATCGTCGCGATCTGCTCTCCTTGCAGGCGCGTGTCTGCACAGCAGGCCTCCAGAAAGAACCGCACACCACACGCACCTGCTCGTTTGACCGGCCATGCTCCTGCCAGACGCGCCAGAGCGCCTCGGCAAAGGAGTCGCCGCGCACGGCCAGGCGCAGCGTCGCCTCGAGCCAGTCGCCGTCGGCCGCGACGCGCGCATAGAGGGCCGAGTAGAGCGGCATGAGGCGCTGCGCATGAGCGTATGCCTCGCGCGGCCACGGCGTCGGCAGCAGTGCGAGCGGCGCGTGGATGGCGCTGCTCTGCGGCGGTGCGGCGCCAGTGGCCGGCAGCGGGCGGTAGGCGAGGCCGCGCGAGAGGGCAAAGTCGCGCGCATCGTGGCTGAGCTGCGCCAGCTGGGCAGGCTGCAGCGCCGGCGGATAGGCGGACATGCTGCGCGGGTGCTTACAGTCGGCGAGTGTGTGGTGGTAGGAAGAAGAAGGCCGGGCGTGCCTGGGCGCGGTCGCGGCATCGAGCCCGGCTGCGAAGGCGTGCTCGGCGCCGGCCGGAGATATCGCGCGCGGCCGCGCGCGTAGGACCCTCGATCCTCCACTCCCGGCTCCCGAGGCATCCTTCCGCAGCTGCTCCAGACTCTTCGCCCCCACTGATGCATGCAAAAGGGCCCCAAGGCTTGAAGTTGGGCTCAGAATAACCAACACTCGGCTCTGGTCTGGGCCAAGTCTTGCAAGCCTCGTCCGAACGAGGTCAGAGCGCCTGCCACGACAATGGGAGCGAGCGGCTTCGCGGACGAAGCTCGCCTCCACCTCCCTAATGCCGCGCGTCTCGTCCTTCGCTCACCTCCACCCACTCCGCAGCCGTCTCTATACCGCATCGTCCCTTGCGCTCATCCGCCGAGCGGCTGCTTTCGTCCTTTGCGCGTGCTGCTCGCAGTGCGCAGCTGCTGCGGCGCATGGACGTGCCCCAGGTCGGCAGCCCGCCGCAGCCGCGCGTCGCCTACGTCCTCTCGCCGGCGCTTCTCCGCGCCGCCAACGCCTTGCCCGCCAGCGCCGGCCGCTCGCGCCTCGTCCATGCACTGGCCTGGCATTGCGGTCTCATACAGACGCCTGAGTCCGGCGCAGCGTCGGCGTCAGCGTCAGACGTCGAAGCAGCTGGTGTGGGCAGCGCGGAAGAGCACGAGCTGGTGCGCCTCCTCGCCGGCGATGTAGACGCTGCAGACGCTGCCGTCGTAGCGCGGCAGCACGGCCCAGCTGCGACGCTCAGAATCCCACAGATGGGAAGGCGAGCAGATCTCCTCGCCTACCACGCCGCCAGCTTCGTCGATGTTCTGCTCGACGAGAATGCGAGTGCAGGTGGCCAAGAGGAGGGACTCGACGAGGTGCGTACGAGGAAGGCGTGGGCGGAATGAGTCACAGCGGGACGCGAGGCCTTGACAGATCATGAGCAATGCCGCGACTTGGGCTCTGAGTGATCTAAGGAGGACTAGAAGCGGCCAGCTGAAGCTGCGGGTTGGCGCGGCACGCAGGACACACGAAGCCCAGAGAGCAGGCTCCACGCGCTGACTGCATCTGCCAGGACACGCCGCGCTTCGCAGAGCTGCGTACCTATGCCCTCGCTCTGGCTGGTGCAGCAGTGGATGCGGCAAAAGCGCTGCGAAACGGCAGCTTTGACGTGGCTCTGCTCTGGGACGGAGGGCGGTGAGTCGCGGCCACCGGCCTGATGCCGGGCGCTGCCACTCACACCGGATGCCTGTGTTTGCCCAGCCACCATGCACGTCGTGCGCGCGCGAGCGGCTTCTGGTGAGCATAGATGCGCAGTATCCAGCCATTGCTCTTCCCCGCCACTGCGCTGACTCCGCGAAGTTACGTTTCAGACGCCGTGCTCGCAATGCTAACGATGCGCAAGCCTGTGCCGAAGCCCAAGGCGATCACACCAGCGCCAGCAAAGCGCCGAGCCGACGACGACGCCTCGCGTCTACAGAAAGCTCCGCGTCTCGGCTTTGGCGCACGGCCAGAAGACATCCGTCGAGCTGCTGAGGCCGCCGCGGCCGTGTCGCAGGGAGAAGCCCCAGACGCCGGCGTGCAGCAACATGCCGCAGCATCCGACGCAGCTCAGGAGCCCGCACCTGCTCGACGGCGATGGGAGCGCATCCTCTATCTCGACTTGGACCTGCACTGGGGCGACGGCGTCGAGGAGGCGTGGTACAACTCGCCGTCCGTCCTCACGCTCAGCGTGCACTACTTTGCAAGAGGCTTCTTCCCCGCAGGCGGCAGTGAGCGCGCGCCTCGTAGTTCCCGAGCTGCGTCCCCGTCGACCGACAACGACGAGTCGCCCAGCGGTGACGCGCCACACGAAGCCGCCGCAGGCTCGCTCCATGCGCCGTCTGGACCGGTCGCAGCGCCAGCGCACGCCCTCAACCTTCCGCTGCAACCCGGCGCTAGCGACGCCACTGTGGCGCGTGTGTGGGACAGCTGCATCGAGCCTGCAGTCAAAGCGTACAAGGTGAGTGTCCATACACCTTGAGCAGCCCGGCGTGTGCTGAGCCGGAGCAGCCTGATGCAGTGGTGCTGCAGTGCGGCACAGATGCGCTGTACGGCGACCCGTGCGGCGTGCACAACCTCTCCATCGCAGCGTATGTGCGCGCCGTGCAGGCCGTGCGCGCCTGGAAGCTGCCGACGCTCGTCCTTGGCGGAGGCGGCTACACACCTGCCGACCATGCGCGCACCGCGGCGGCCGTCACCGCCGCAGTGCTGGGCCGCTGGAGCGACCATCCGGAGGATGGCTGCCTCACTCGCCAGATGGAGGTGCCGCTGCACGACCTCTGGCCGGCGTACGCACAACGGCCGCAGCTCGACGTGCCCGCCGGTGAGTCCCTCGGCCGCGCATGTCCGCGCCGGCTCACCACTCTGCGCAGGATCTACAAAGGACGAGAACGACGAGGGCTGGCTGTGCGAGGTCGAGGCGGTCTTCGCCCAGCACGCCGAGAAGCTGCGCGCCTTTCACGGCCACTAGGCCGCAGTCCACACATTGCTAATACCATCGAGTCACCTTCGCGCTGCACGTCTCCTCTGCGCAGCTCTGTCACCCAGCCACTGGACTGTCGTCAGTGCATATTCGGACGCCATGCGTGGAAAGTCGCCGCTCTGCTGTAGAAGCGAGATCGCGTGGGCCTCACGCTTGTCAGCCATGCAGAGCGCCGAATGGGCGTTCGTTCGAATGTCATCCTAGCTTGCGGCCCTCGGCGCCGGAGCATGATTGCAACGGTGGGAGGCATGCACGGCTGCGCTGTCAAAGGTTCTCTCGTGCAGACGCTCAGCGGCTCGCTGGCCTCGGCGCATGCGCGCTGCGCGTGTTGCTCCTGTCGCGACGCGCCGCCCGTGCGGGCACCTTCCTCTTTGAGCGGGCAGGCTCCTCTTGCAGTCGATCAAGCTCAAGACGCCGGCTCAGAGCCTGCAGCCTTGTAATCGACGTAACGGAACGAATGCAGAGCCAAGGCTTAGCTTAGTGCAGCCGCGAGCGAAGCCGTGCGCTGCTCCCGCTCCCGGTCCGCCGTGGCGCAGCCTGCCTTACCTCTCCGCCACTAGCTGCCCACTCACAGCCCTCACGACCCTCACGACTCTCACATCCTCCCTCCACTCTCTCTCTCTCTCACCAAGTGTCCTCTGGGCACCGCCAGTGTCGGCTGTCCGGCGCATCCACTTCGCCGCGCGACCCTCCTGCGTGTGCCCTGCGCTGCTGCGCGAGTCGCATGCTCATCGCCACGCGCGTCTCAGCACGCCTCTCGCTCCTTGCCTCAACGGCAGCCTCACACCATGTCGATGGTCGCGCACAGCAATTTGTGAGTCCTGCATGTACTACCCGCCGCTGCACGCATGATGCTGATCGCGGACATGCCTGGCCGACAGCGCTGCGGGCTCGGCCGGCATTTCTCGCATCCGTCAGCGCCGCAACCTCAACGCACACGTCAGAATGCTGGAGCGCGTCCTCGCGTACGAGAGAGCCGCGCTCGAGACGGCAGAATTGGCTCTTGAAGGCGCGGAGGAAGAAGCGAGTGAGCTGGCTTGCCTGGCGGGGGACCACGAGGAAAGCCGGGATTGCGCTCTTGCACGTGTGAGTTCGGGACTCCTTCTGATAACGCGCCCTCCTCGCTGAGCTGCGGCGCCTTCGCCAGCTCCACGCTTCCGAGGCGAGCCTGAAAGCTGCGAACGAGAAGAAGCGGCAAGCGCTTCTAGACAAGGAGAAGCTCTGCCACGAGAACGAGCAGCTCGAGGCGCAGCTGAAGCGCATGCAGGGACGCGCCGACGAGTGGATGCTTGAGTTCTCCAAGTCGCAGCAAGAGGCCGACCTGATCTGGGCCGGCAAAGAGCAAGCCTGGCTGCGCCTCGAAGACGCTGAACTCAAGCTCGAGGCCGCTGAGACGCAGAACGAGGAGCATGTCGCTCAGGCGAAGGAGCTGCTCCGCAATACACAGAGGCTGGAGGAGGACGTGGGCAGCATGCGCCGCCGTGCCGAAGCCGCCGAGCGCGCCCTCAACCAGAGTAGGCACGCCAGCAGTGAGGGCTCGCCTCCCACCGAGCTTGCGCTGGACACGACGATGCGTGGTGCTACGCACGGCGTGACAGCAGCGATGCTCGCCGAAGTGCACGACGACCTGGTACGCACGTCGCGAGACCGAGCGCAGCTGGTACTGATCTCGCTGGACCCAGGTGCTGGAAGCGACAAAGGTCTACGGCCCGCAGACCCAGATGTAGGCGATCCGCGCCTCGATGGCGCAACGTTACAGGAGCGAAGGTCCGTCTCCCTCCCTGCGGCGACAGGAATATCGCTGACTGCCGGCATTGCGCTCCAGTCGCCGAGGACCGCCAGCACGACGTCGCAGAACAGCCGTCGCGCCGCATCGCGGGTCTGCCGTACTCATCGGAACGCGGCTGCCAGGATGCTGCAGTGCGCTCTCGGTCCTCCTTCGCGCTCAAGAGTCCGCCGCTGGCGCCTCTGAAGGCTGCGTCTCCCTTTGCGCTGGGTAAGCGTGCTCGCGACACGTACAGCATTCCCGAGCCGGACGATGAGCACGACGAGCTCGACGGCGAAGCACGTCTGCCACCAGGTCAGAGCGACCCCGCTGACGAGGGCGGTCAAGGCCGCGCGCATGTCAGCAAGAAGCGCCACACGTAGTCGTCTCTTTCGCTGCGAACGGTGCGTGGGACAGCAGCGTGCTCGAAGAGTTCTGCTGACCCGGAATGCTCAGACAGCCGCGCCATCACCGTCACCAGAACCGTCTCCTCCAGCTCTGCACCTTTCACGCATGCGTCACCGTCCCTCCTCACGTCACCACACTTTGTCGCATTCCAGCGCAAAATGCATTACCGTCCCACCGCGCTCACATGAGTGATTCGCGGGCGCCGATCTCTTGGCTCGCCTCGCCGCTGGGGAACACCGCGTCGCGCTCGCCGGCAAAGGCAGCATAAATGCGCCGCAGCCGCTCCTGCTCCTCGCGCGGGACCGACGGGCGCGTCGACTTGAGCGAGCGCGCGATGTGCTCGTCTGTAACGAGCACCTTGGCTTTGCGCTCGAGCTGAGCCTCGCCCGCGGAGGAGACGGACCCCTGGGCAGGCGAGGCGTCGAGCATCTGCTCGAGGCGCCGCGTCAAGGCCGTGCGGTCCGCGTTGGAGAGCGCAGGGGCGGCGTGGCTCGCTGCGGCGGTCTTGAGGTCGACAAAGCGCAGACCGCGCTCCGCTGTCTTCGTCTTCTTGGTGCTGGCGTCGTCCGCGTCTGGCCGTGCGCTGGCAGCAATGCTCTCGTGAATCGTCTCGAGGTGGGCATTGTACAGCAGAGCCTGCAAGTCTGCGCCCGACATGCCGTCTGTCTGCTGCGCCCATCGCTGCAGATCGACGGCGGGGCTCAGACTGACCTTGCGCGAGACGGCCTTGAGAATGTCCAGCCGATCTTCGGTCGAGGGCATGTCGCACAACAGCGACTTGTCGAGGCGGCCGGGACGCAGCAGCGCCGAGTCGATGAGGTCGGGCCGCGACGTCGCGGCGAGTACGTACACGCCCGACAGGCCCTCCGCGCCGTCCATCTGCGTCAGGAGCTGGTTGACGACTCGGTCAGTCACGCCGGTGCTGTCGTGTCCACTGATTGGGGCAGGGGTCAGCCAGCGCACTGCCATCGCCACCAAGCGACGCACCGCTTCGGGGCGATCGAGTCGAACTCGTCAAAGAACAGCACGCAAGGCTTCGCCGCCTGGGCGCGGTCGAACAGATCGCGGACCTGCAGGCTGTGCATGAGTGGCGCGCACGCACGCACAAGCGCCCGCTGCAACTCACGCTCTTCTCGCTGGCGCCAATGTACTTGTTCAGAATCTCGGGGCCCTTGACCGCGATGAAGTTGAGGCCGCACTCCTTGGCCACGGCGCTGGCAAGCAGAGTCTTGCCGCAGCCCGGGTAGCCATACAGCAGCAGGCCGCTGCGCAGGCGCAAGGGACAGCCTGCGAAGATGGCCGCGTACTTGGTCGGCCACTCGAGCGTCTCGCGAAGGACCTGACGTGTCTCGACCAGGCCGCCGATGTCGGACCACGCCACGCTGGACTTCTCCAGCTTGACATCGCGCAGCGACAGCGGCACAAAGCCGTCCAGCGCGAGAGCAAAGTCTGGCTGCGTCAGATCGTGCTGCAGAGGGCTCTGTTAGCGGCCTTTCAGCTGCGGGTCTGAGGCGCGCCTCACGCTGCCGTCTTGCTGCGCGCTGCGCATGGCAGCCTGCGTCACTGCGCGCTCCGTCAGATCCTGCAAGTCGTTCGGGTAGAAGCCTTCGGTCTCGTTGGCCAGCGATACGAGATTGAGGTCCTGCGCTTGTAGCCCGTCGGACTCGCGAACCTTGGCTGTAATGAGGGCGTCGAGTATCTGTACGGGTGTCTCCACGTCAGCTACGCTCCTGCTGCTCTGGCCCGAGCGGACGTACTGCTTTGCGAGCATTCTTGTCTGGCGGCCGCAGCTGAAGCGTCTCGGCAACGAGCCTGCTCGTCGTCAGGGTCGAGTGGGTGGCGCCCGAGCTGGTCAACAGCACGAACACGTTGGCAGGGCGCTGCTCGAGGGCGGCGACGAGCGCCTCAGCACAGGCACGGGAGTGCGCGCCGTCTGCGTGCTCCATCTCCTGTGGCGCGAGACGCTCGACGTCCTGCAGCCAAAGCACGGAAGGCGCATGCCACGCTGCTGCTGCCACCCACTGAGCCGCCAGCTTGCGCAACGAGGCCGGACGCACGTCGGCGTGCTTCGAGCACCGCACGCGTATCGGCGCAAGGGCAGGCGACAAGGACGACAGTAGCGCAGCGGCTAGTGTCGCCTTGCCTGATCCAGATGAGCCCGTGATGTGGAGAGCGCCGGCTGCTGACTGCAGAAGCGAGCTTGACCGGAGGCTGGACACAAAGAATGCCGACGCCTGCTTCAGAGGCGCGTCAAGTCCTGGCAGAGACGGCTCGCCCCCCGATATGGGCGAGCTGGGGACCTCTGCGGGCATCGCAAGCGGGACTGGCGAGGGAGCCGAGAATCTGAGAGCAACGGCGTCAGCCACATATGCCTAACGAGGGCACGGCCTGCTTACAAAATCATGTCACCGCCTTGGGCGCCGAGCTGCTTGAGGGTGTCCTGCCCCACCCAGACGTCTCGCGCATCCTGCGCGGCGTCGCGTTCCACCCAGACGGCATTCCGCGTCGGGTGCTTCGCCGAGTCCGCCTCACGCGCATCAAGCCCGGGCCTCAAGTCGGGCGCCGCTGGACAGGCGACCGTCGAGATGCTGGCGCGCTGGCTCTCCCCAAATGCATCGCGCAGAGTCTGTGCCAGAGAGGCAGGGACGAGCATTGCGCTGCCTGCACACGGGACAGCGCGAAAGAGCGTGCGCGCAAGGTACGAGCGAGCCGCATCGGAACTCGAGGAGGTGGAGGCCGAAGCTGGTGGCGGTATCACAGCCCGCGGCACGGGCGCGATGATGACCTCTGTGGAAGTGGAGAGGCGGACGGCTCGGGCGCCAGACTCGCCAGAGGTGGACGGCGTCGTTGTGTCTAAGGAGAGACATGCCTCAGTTGAGTGTCCTGCTTCACCAAGCGCGAGAGCGGGAGGCAAGGCACAACTCAAGACCACTCACCAACACGCATGCCCACGCTGTCGCCCTTGCCGACGGCAATGTGGATCACCGCGCCCTGTTTGGCGGCGCGCACCTGCGCCAGCATGCCGTCTTCGACCTCGCCGGCATGCCGTGCCAGGACCTCCCAATCGTCCGGCCCGCACGGCGTGACGTTGATCGACGAGGCGGTCGGCAGCGGCGGAGCGCGCAGCAGCACGAGCGACAGCGTCTCGTGCGTCGCGAGCGGCGGCTCGAAGGAGCGGGCCAGCAGCGGCGAGATGCTGAGCGGGTTGCTCAGCGACGGCGCACTGCTGCTGCTGCCGCCGCCGGCAGGCGTGCTCGGTGCACAGAGGCCGCTCCAGCCGCAGTACACCGTGTCGCGGCGCGCCTCTGCGTCCGAGGCGTCCGAGGGCGCGCGGCGCACCAGCTCGACGACGAGGCTCTGCGGCGCAATGTTGCGCTCGAGCAGCGGCGCGTAGAGCAGCGAGGGCAAGTGGACGAGCGACGTGCGCAGCTCGCCGTCGAGCACGGCCGTGCACGCCGTGCTGCGCTTCGACATTGCGGTGAGGAAGAAGGGGAGTAGTGGGCGGGATGACGGAGCGGGGCTCTCACGAAGATCTGCCGCACGGCCGCGCACCGGGCGCGCCGGCCCAAGCGGGCCGGGCGGCCAGGCGGCTGCACGTGACGCCGCGGCGATATTGGCAATCCGGCGGCGCTGCATGGCTGCCCTGCCTGCCGACCTGCGCCGACGCCTCACGAGAAGAATGCGCTGCTGCCTCCGCCCACACCATCCTCACCCGGCACCATGTCGCTCCTCCGCGCCTCGGCAGCCCGCCGCCTGGCGTCTGCTCGCCCGCGCCTCAGCGGCGTGAGCGGCCTTGCCACACACGCTCCGGCCGCGCCCGTCGCTGCGGCGGCCGCGCACCCCTCGCGCCTGCCGCCGTACGAGGCGCTCCTGGCGCAGCTGCAGCGCGTGCGCGCCATCCTCGGGCGACCGCTCACGCTCGCCGAGAAGATCCTCTACGCGCACCTGCGCGACCCCGATGCGACGCTCGCCGATGCCTCCTCGTCCAAGGACCCCTCGCGCGTGCGCGGCAAGCTGTACCTGCCGCTGGCCGTCGACCGCCTGGCCATGCAGGACGCCAGCGCACAGATGGCGCTGCTGCAGTTCATGACGTGCGGCCTGGCGCAGACGGCCGTGCCTGCCAGCGTGCACTGCGACCACCTCATCCAGGCGTTCGAGGGCGCCGAGGCGGATCTCAAGGTGAGTCGATGCGTGCGCTGCAGCAAGGCTGCGCGCTCACACGCGTGATCAGCGATCCATCGCGTCCAACAAGGAGGTCTTTGCCTTCCTCGAGTCTGCTTGCAAGAAGTACGGCATCGAGTTCTGGGGGCCTGGCAGCGGCATCATCCATCAGATCGTGCTCGAGAACTACGCCGCGTGAGTGTGCTGCGTGATCGCGCGGTGCTCTGTGCTGACGTCGCCGACCAGTCCCGGCATGCTCATGCTCGGCACAGACTCGCACACGCCCAACGCGAGCGGCCTGGGCTGCCTGGCCATCGGTGTGGGCGGTGCAGATGCGTGAGTCGCAGCGAGCATCATCTCTTACTTGCCTCTCTGACCACTCGCCTGAAGCGTGGACGCCCTGACGAACACGCCGTGGGAGCTTCAGGCGCCCAAGGTGCTCAACGTGCACCTTTCCGGCACGCTGTCGCCGTGGTGCACGCCCAAGGACATCATTCTGCACGTCGTCGGAGCCCTCACGGTGCGCGGCGGCACCGGCCACATTCTCGAGTACACCGGTCCCGGCCTGGCCTCTCTCCCGGCGACCGGCCTCGCCACGATGGCGAACATGGGCGCCGAGATGGGCGCGACCACATCTGCATTCGCCTACACGCAGCCGATGGGCGAGTACCTGACTGCGACGGGCCGAGGACACGTCGCGCGGGCCGCTGCCGCCGCGGCTGGCGAGCTCCTCACCGCCGACGCCGACGCCGAGTATGACGGCCGTCTCGAGGTCAACCTGGACACGCTCGAGCCCACCATCAACGGTCCCTTCACGCCCGATCTGGCGACTCCGCTGTCGCAGTTCGTGGCGCGCGCCAAGGCCGGCGAGATGGGCGCCGATGCGCGGCTGAGCGCTGCGCTCATCGGCTCCTGCACAAACTCCTCTTACGCAGACATGGCACGATGCGCCTCGCTGGCGCGTCAGGCTCGCGACCAGGGCCTGAAGGTGCAGACCAGCTTCGACGTGACGCCGGGCAGCGAGCAGGTGCGCGCCACTGTGCAGCGCGACGGCATCCAGCAGGACCTGCAGGACGTTGGCGCGCGCGTGCTGGCAAACGCGTGTGGACCTTGCATCGGGCAGTGGGACCGGCGGGAGCTCAAGGGCGAGGAGAATGGTGAGTCGTGCGTGTCTGAGGCCGGAGCGACCGGGCTCATCCGCACCCTTGCCCAGTGATTCTCACGTCGTTCAACCGCAACTTCCGCGGGCGCAATGACGGAAACAGCAAGACGATGAACATGCTCGCCTCCCCGGAGATCGTCACGGCCATGGCCTTCTCGGGACGCCTCGACTTCAACCCCATGACGGACTCTCTGCCGCTGCCCAACGGTGGATCGTTCCGCTTCCAGCCGCCGTCTGGCGAAGAGCTGCCGACGCGTGGCTTCACGCCGGGTGACGAGACGTACCTGCCGCAGCCCTGCCCAGCGCCCGTGCCCGAGACGCAGATCGCCATCAGCCCCGACTCGACGCGGCTCGAGCACCTCGCGCCGTTCGACAGCCCCTTCAGCGGCGGCAACTACGAGCTTCCGTCGATGCGCTGCCTCATGCGCATCCGTGGCAAGTGCACGACGGACCACATCTCGGCCGCTGGCCCCTGGCTCAAGTACAAGGTGAGCTGAGGATTGCCCGCACACAGGCGTGCTAGTCGCTGATCGTCCTTCTTCGCACAGGGTCACCTGAGCAACCTGGCCGAGAACACGCTCATCGGCGCTGTGAACGATGAGGACGGCGCCGTCAACTCGGCGTACGACTGCCAGGGCGAGGGCGACGCGCGCAAGGACACGATCCCGGGCATCGCAAAGCGCTACCGGGACCGCAAGCAGCCCTGGATGCTGGTCGCTGACCACAACTACGGTAAGTCGCTGGCTGTCGAGCTCGCTGCCGCTCCGTCGCTCACAGCATCATTCCAGGCGAGGGCTCCGCGCGCGAGCACGCCGCACTCCAGCCGCGCTTCTTTGGCTGCAACCTGATCCTCGCCCGCTCGATTGCGCGCATTGCCGAGACGAACCTGCGCAAGCAGGGCGTCCTGACCCTGCTCTTTGCCGACGACGCGGACTATGCCCGTATCGCGGCTGGCGACATCGTCGAGACGGTCAACCTCGGCGACCTGCTGCGCCCCGGCGGAGACCTCAGCACGCAGGTCCGCGTCCGCGTCACGAAGCCCTCGGGCGAGAGCTTCGAGCTCGACACGAAGCACTCGCTGTCGCGTGCCCACCTGGACTGGATTCGCTCCGGCTCGGCCCTCAACCTCATCCGCGAGCAGGCTCAGCGCAGCTCGGGCAGCGGTTCGCGCTCGGCGGCTCCTGCCGGCGCGCGCGCCATGAGCTCGTTTGCCGGTGCTCGCCGCGGCTACGCAACGGCCGCCTCCGGCGGTGCCAGCCGCCTGAACCCAAACGACCCGCGCTACGTGGCGCCCGCCGCAGACGGCCGGACAGACTCCATCCGTCGTGCCGTCTACCCTGCTGTCGTGACGACGCGGGCCGAGGCCCAGGCGTCGGCGGCTCAGGCACTGCAGAAGGCACTGCCGTACCCTGCAGAGGTGCACGAGACCATCACTCGTGCCTGGCTTCTGCACCGGCGCGAGCAGCGCCTTGCGCAGGCTGCTGACCTCGCCGCCAAGCGACATCGCATGGAGGAGGCCTGTGCCGACCTCAAGTCCACGTCGCCGACCCTCTTCAAGGCTGCGGCCTACCGCGTCGCGCCGAACCGCCGTCACCCCGACGAGCAGGCCCGCCTCGTGCGCCTCGGCCTTGTGCCCGCGCAGGCCGGTCAGGGCGCCAAGGATGATGCACCCATCGCCGGCCCGGAGGCGCGCCGGCGTGCCAAGACCCTGGCGGGCGCGCGCCTGCACGGCCTGTTCCCGCGCGAGCTGCGTGCGCCGACGCAGACGCCGTCGCGCAAGGGCTGGCCCTCGTTCGAGGCGTTCAAGGAGGACCAGGCCTAATGCCGAGGCCTGCCTCTCCGCGCACCTATGTCACGCTAGAGCCTTGCAGAGAATGCACCCTTTCTGCCCCCGTCTGTCTGGCACCGTGCATTGCTAGAGGTCCCAGTCGAGCTCGGCGTCGATCTCTTCTTGTGTCTTCTCGCCGCCGCGGATTGCGCTCTTCCGCCCGGGCTCCTCGTCGCCGTTGTCGTGCTCGTCGGTGCGGCGCCCGAACTGACTGTCGATGTGTGTGGGCTCGCCAGGCACCTCGGAGCGATCGAGCACGCCGACGGCCGTGAGCAAGAGCTCGATGTCTGGGGTCCGCGCCGTGTGAGCCGACGTGGCAGAGCGCTAGTGCCGAGCGCCACCCACCCTCGCACTTCGTCTTCATGCCGTCGCACCCGATCTCCGGACGCAGGCCGATGATCTGCCGGTGCAGAGCGCCGTTGCGGTAGATGAGGAGCGTCGGCAGGTTCTTGTCGGGGTAGTTGGGAATGCACTAGCGAGAATCGATGTGTGAGAGGGCGGACCCATCTGCGCTTGCGGGCGCCGCAGCTTACCTTGTCGCCGACGATGCTGACAAACTTTGTCGCCGGATACTTGGCCGCGAGCGTGTTCAAGTAGCCAGCCAGCAGCTGGCACGTGTCCATGCTGCAGAGCAGGCCAGAGCGTGTGAGCAGAGTGTCGCGCTGTGCGACCGTGGAGCTCGAGGCGGCGCATTCGCCGCACTCGACGGCGTGGGCAGCAGTAGCAGTGGCAGCAGTCGCGAGCCGCCATGGCCGGCGCTCGCGGCACCGGCGGCGCTAGCACTGATGCTACACTCTCTCGACTGCGGACGTGCAGTCCTCCGGCGCAGGCAGAGGGCTGGCACCGGTGAAGCGCACCTCGTCATGCAGTCTCTGTCACTCACCCGTCCTTGTAGAGGAAGCAAACCACGCCGGTGCCCTTCTTCGTCTCCTTGGCCTCTTGCCCGCCGACAGGCCCGGCGCCCGTCATGCCCTCATCGTCGTCCTCCTGCTCTTCGTCGGCGCCCTCGACGCCGGGCTGCGCCTTGCTCGCATCGGTGACCTCGCGCGTGTAGTCCGGGCGGCCGATTGGGTACACCCGGCCGAAGCGATGTGTGCGGCGCTCGCGAGCAAGCACCTCTGCGCGGCGAGCACGCAGCGCTTCCAGCTCGCGCTCGGCGTCGGCGTCGCGGGCATCGGCGGCGTCGTCTAGTGCTGCACGGATCTGCGCATCGGAGAGCCCGGCGAGCCGTGTGGCGCGGAGCTGCGCATCCGACTCGCGCTCGGGCGATGGTGACCGCGACGGCGGCAGTGCCGGGATGATGCCGCGCGCGCGCAACGCATCGTGACTGCCGCGGGCGCTGTCAGCTTGCGGCGGCGCCGGGCGCGGCTGCGGCAGGAGCGGGCACGCACAACTCCGTGTCCTGCGTGGGGTCGATGTCCGCGTACATGAGCGCTGCTTCAAGCAGAGGGCGAGGTTTGAGCGGCGGGAGACGTGGCTGTGCAGAGTTGTGCGGCGCGCGCGGTGTTGGTGTCGTGAAGGAAGATTCGAGGCGCGCCGGCACCGCCGCATGGCCTGTGCGCGCGCGGCGCGTCAACTCCGCGCGGCGCCGCGACGCACCCACCGCACGCGCCGCGCAGCAGCCCCGGAGCCCCATCAAGCGCCTGTGCCTCGGTCCAAGGCGTCAGAGCCTCTTGCATCACCACAGACGTACTGCTTCACCCCGCGAACACGCTCGTCTTGCTTAGAGCTCCGTACGCACCCGTTCCGCTGCTCTAGTCTGCAGACGGGCCATCAGCGCCTGTCTCGGCTGGTCTTGCCGTCTTGGCCTCGCTTCGGCATGTCCTTCGCAAGAGTCTGTCACATCGCTCAGCGCTCAGCTGGCACGCCTGTACCACCGCTCTGCACGCTGTGGGACGTCTCCCTGTGCTCGTCTCTCTCGTGCACGTCTAGCCTCCTGAAACGCGCTTCTGCGCTCGGCCTCTACCTAGCGGTCCCGCGGTCCCGCTGGCGCGCTCGGCCACTCTGCTTGACTCACCTCTCCGCAGCCTACGTATGCCTGCTGTGGAGGCGTACAAGGGTCCGACAGACCTGCGGGGTGTAGCATGTGCTGACAAGGCCGCAGTCGACTCCGCACGCCCACCGCACTGACTCTGGCGCAGCTGCAAAGAAGCTCTTTGCGCATCGACTGCGGCATTGTACGGTTGCCTCGCGAGCTAGACGCGGATGCAAGACCATGCAGAATAAGAACTCGCTACACGTCCAGCGCGGCATTCTTGTGCGAGGCAATTTCGGTCTTGCTGCGTTCTGCGCGCCGCACGGCGCTCTGGCAGGCCAAATATGTGCGCAGCGCGGCCTCCACCACGTAGTTTTCGCTCCGGCACTGCGCGCGCTGCGGCCCAGCCAGTCAGCCCGCAGGCAGATCAGTCGCTCGCCTGCGCTACACGCACGCCCCACATGCGTCGGGAACAGCTGCGTCGGTGCCCCATGTTCCGCTGCTTTGCGGCCGGCACAGAGCGTTTTGTGAGTTTGACACGTAGCTAAAACGTGCTCACACCCGCACACGCTGGCTAGACGAGCGCGGTGCGGCCTGGGTGGACAGTAGGGGCTCAGAATCGATGCATGATGTCTATTGTGCGCCTGCCTTGCCCGCAGTGGGCTCTGCGGCAGGCTCTGCAGCAGCGGTCGGCTCGGTGCCCCGCTCGCCCTCCCCTGCGCCGTGGCCCATGCCTGGTGAGCCGGAGGAGAGTGAGCCGATGGTGCCGGCTGTGCGGCGATGCGCCGAGACGTACCGACTGTGCTCTGCGACGACCAGAGGTCTGCGTAGAGCGAGGTTGGCTTGGCGAGCAGCTCGTCGTGCGTGCCCTGCTGCTCGACGACGCCGTCGCGCAGCACGATGATGAGGTCGGCATCCGAGATGGTGCGCAGACGATGGGCGACTGCGCGGCGTCGGCGTCAGTGCGGCCTGCGGTGGGCGGTGTGGGCAGGCCGCACTCACCCAGGATGGCGGTGCGCTGCGTCTCGAGGAGCGAGGCGTTGAGGTCGCGCATGAGCGACGCCTCGGTGAACGTGTCGAGCGCAGAGGTCTGCCAGAGGTCAGCGGGGCGGGGATGCAGCACGCCTCGCGACTTACGGCCTCGTCCAGGAAGATGATGTCCGGGTTCTTGAGGAACAGGCGCGCGATGGCGAGGCGCTGCTTCTCGCCGCCGCTGATCATGAGACCGCGCTCGCCCACCTTGGTGGCATAGCCGTCGGGCAGGCTGCGCACGATGCGGTCGACCTTGGCTCGCTTGGCCGCCTCCTCGACCATCTCGTCGCTCGCCGCTAGGTTGCCGTACTTGATGTTCTCGCGGATGTCGCCGTTGAACAGTGCCGTGTCCTGCGGCACAACGCCCACGGCGCGGCGCAGGCTCTCGACCGTCACGTCGCGGATGTCCTGCCCGTCGATGAGGATGCGCCCGCTCTGCGGCTCGTAGAAGCGGAAGAGCAGCCGGAAGACGGTCGATTTGCCGCAGCCGCTCGGGCCGACGATGGCCGTCTTGAGCCCGGCGGGGATGGTGAAGGAGCAGTCCTTGAAGATGGGCCGCGACGGGTGGTAGCCGAAGGTGACGTTCTCGAAGCGGATCTCTCCGCCGCCGACGACGAGCGGCTTGGCGTCAGGCTTGTCCTGCACGTACGGGTCAGCCGACAGACGCAAAGGGCGGTGCTCGCGGGGCGCCACTGACCGCCACGTTGACCTGCACGCTCTCGAGGTTGAACATCGTCTCCATGTCGATCAGGCTCTGCCGCAGCTCGCGGTAGACGGTGCCGAGGAAGTTGAGCGGCAGGCTGAGCTGGAAGACGAGCTGGTTGACAAGCACGAGGTCGCCGACGGTCATGGTGCCTGTAGAGCATGCTCAGTCTGCGCGCTCTCGCCAAGGGCGGCCGGGCTCACCATTCACCACGCCCTGCGCGGCGAGCAGCATCATGACCGTCAGCGCCGAGCTGAAGATGAAGTTCTGCCCCGTGTTGAGGGCAGCGAGCGACGTGGCGACCTTGACGCTCGACTTCTCGTACGCCTTGAGCGCGCTGTCGTACTTGCTGATCTCGTAGGCCTCGTTGTTGAAGTACTGCGGGCCCACGTCAGCCGGGCATAGCCACTACACAGCGGCAAAGCGCACCTTGACGCTCTCGTAGTTGAGCAGCGAGTCGACGCTTGTGCTCGCGCCGCGGTTGTCGGCCTCGTTGGCCTCCTTGCGGAACTTTGTGCGCCAGCTCGTCGTCTTGATGGTGAAGGCCGCGTACGCCGCCATCGTGACGGCCGTCACGGCGGCGAAGCTCGGCCCGCACTTGTAGCTCAGGATGCCGCACACCAGGCTGATCTCGAGCGCCGTGGGCACGATGTGGAAGACGAGCGACGTGAGCAGGAACGAGATGCCCTTGGTGCCGCGGTCGATTGCGCGCGTCAGGCCGCCCGTCTGCCGCGACAGGTGCCAGGACAGGTCGAGCGAGAGCAGGTGCGTGAACACGGAGCGCGCGACGCGGCGGATCGAGCGCTGCGCCACGTTGGCAAAGACGGCATTGCGCAGCTCAGAGAAGGCGGCCGCTCCGATGCGCGCGAGGCCGTCTGGGACGCATCGTCAGCGAGGGGGCAGAGGTGAGCCCGTGCTTCGGACACTCACAGCCCAGAATGCTGGCGCCTGCCACCACCCAGACGGTGTTCGGGTTGCTCAAGTCGAGCGGCGTGTTCGCCGCGTTCGAGAGCGAGTCGACGATGCCCTTGAAGAAGAAGGGCACCTGCACGTTGAGCAGCTGCGGGCCGGGTCAGCCTGGCGTCTAGTCGTGCCCTCCACTCAGGCTCACCTTGCCGCCGATCAGCAGCGCCAGCGCCAGCACGACTCGCCCCTTTGTGCCCGAGTCGCCGCGCGGCCAGATGTGCCCCACGAGCTTCTTCACGATCGACCAGTCCTTGGCCCGCTGCTCCTTGACGGACAGCTCGGCGTGCGCTGTCACATCGGCGGCGGCGCCAGGCCGCGTCGGCACGGCGGGCGAGGGAGGCACTGCAGGCCCAGGCTTGGCAGCGCCTGGTGGAGCGCTCTCGGCTGCTGCCGCCGGCGACTGTGGGCGCGACGCCGGCGTGCGCTGTGCTGGCGCCGCGGCATCGTCGGCATCGCGGGCCATGTGTCGGTAGGTGCGGACGGCCGGTATCCGGACGCGCACCGGGTGAGCGGGCGCCGCAGCATGCAGCGTCGAGCGCCAGGCCGGAGTGCTGCTGCAGCGCGGCGCGGCTGCGGCGGCCAGCCTTGTCTGCGGCAACACGCCGGCGAGGGCCAGCGACGAGGCATGCCGCACGCCGGCACGCGGCGGCACGCTCCGCAGCGCGATGCGGGGCAGCATGGATGCGAGCGGCCGGCCGGGCGCGCTGTCGACGCTGCAGGGCGGGTCCCAGGGATGGGTGTGTTGCGGAGGAGCTCGTGCGGGGTGGTGGGGGCCGGGAAGGTACCTGTCAGAAGGTTGCGCTGCCGCCGCACCCGCACCCGCTGCTCGGATCACGCTGATCCGCACCGCCGCATGACGCAAGGCACGCCGCCGCGGCGCTCGCAGGTCGCCGATGCCGGAGCGGAGCGCGCCCTGTCCCCGCCGCCGACACGCGCGCCGTGCTGCCATCTGCCTTGCGCAGCACGCAAGCTGCCTCTGGTCCCACGAGTCCTAAGCTACACCTTCGTATGTCGTGGCCATGAGGAAGAATCGCAGCCGTGGGTTAGCTTTTGTGCTCGCTGCTGACACGGATGTCGCAGAGCCCTGGGAGTAGAGAGAAGCGGCAACGGGAAACTGTGCACTGCTGCACACCCTCATCAGGGGTCAAGAGCTCCTAGCCCGCGGCCGAGCTTCATAGCAGGTGCAGCTGCTCAACCTGCGGCCAATGTTTGGCGTACAGGTGCATCCTTCTCGTCGACGGCCACATTTTGAGCAGAACTTGCTCGCTCAAGTAGCGCAGCTGCACCCAGTGCTCGGCGACAAAGCAGCGAGGGCAGCCCACGCGACCAGCCGGCGTGCGCCGCGCGCGCGGTGGTGCGGCTGCGCCACGCCGTGGCTGGCGCGGCGCTGCGGCGCGTGCCAGCACGCTCAGGAGCTTGCCGTGTCCTCGGCGCAGCGTGTCTCGCAGCAACCACCACCACACGCCACGCACCCACGCCCTGCACACGTCCCTTCACGCTTGCACAGCACTCGCACAGCACTCTCCAAATCCTCACTGTCCAGCGCTCAGCTCCACCCCTCGCGGCGCCGTCACGGCCACATCTGCGTCTGGCACTCGCCCGCCTCCACCTGCAGCTGCGAGCCGATTACGCACGCGTCGCCGAGCGTGTCTCTGCGCTCTGCACTGACAGCGCCGTTTGCGACACCGGTGCCGCGCGAGGAGTAGTGCGGCCGCATCTTGCCCGCCATGGCACCGTCCACATCGGCAGCCGCGGCGGACGCTGCTGCGGCGGCCCGAGCGCGAGACTGGCCCGAGGGCGCGCACAGCAGCGCGTCGGACAGTGCGCCGCCTTCGAGCCGCCGTCGACGCCGCAGCAGCGGCGGGCTGGCCATGATGGACGCCGGTCCCAGTACTTCAAGCTCGCGCGCGTCCGCCGCGCAGACGGACGGAGAAGGCCAGGCGCGCAGCAAAGACGCCGCGCGCAACGACGCTCCGCCACCTGCTCGCCGCCGCCGCATCAGCATCGGCTCGTCGCTGTCGCTCGGCCTGCGCGCGCTCGTCCCGACTGCTTCGTCGAGCGCGGCGGAGCCGGCGACGAGCAGCCTGCGTCGCCTGGGCCGCCGCTTCCGCGCATCCATTGTGCCCTGGGCGTCCTCGAGTGGCGCTGCCGAGCAGTCCGAGCCTGTGCGCAACAGCGCTGCCGATGCAGACGACGAGGACATGGCAGACAGCTGCGAGGTGGAGGCACAGATGGTCGCAGACAGCGAGGCCGAAGCGAGCCGCGCCTCGCCGGAGCCGCAGATCGACGAGACGCACTCGGCTCCAGAGGACGCGACTCTGGAAGCGCCAGCGATTGAGCGCGAGGCGCATGCTCAGAGAGTCGAGGCTGCCGAGGCGGCGTCTGCGCCTGCGCCTGCGCCTCGTGAGCAGGAGCCGTCGGCGTCCGGTCCGCGCGCCTCGGCCGGTCAGAACCAGGCAGCGTGGCGAGCGTACGAGCGCGCCTCTGTGGCCCACGCGCTGGGCCTCGGTCCGGCGCCCGACGTGCCCACGCTCGACGCTGCCGACGGCCTGCCGACGCCCAGCTCGACTCTCTTTGCGTTGCTGCGAGATGTGCTCGGCCTCGGCACACGCGCGCCGACTGCGCCACAGGCCAACGCTGTTCCCGCCGGCGGGGTGCCCATGCAGCGCGAGGCTGCGCCGTCTTCGCCTGCAGCAGCTGCTCCCCAGGCTCCTGCACCCCAGCGGCAGAGCCCTGGCGGCACGAGTGAGTGACATCTCTTCTCAGTCTGTGCTTTGCTCATCTCAATGCTCGTCAGGTGTCATCGTGCAGGGCGCCCTCGTCTCGCGGACGCTTCCGGACCGGGCCCGCTCCGCTGGAGCTGCGCCGCCTGCTGCTTCCGCTACGGCCTCGGCAGCGCCTGACGCGCAGCCGGCGCCGCACGCCGAGCCCGGTCCGGGTCACGCTCAGGCTGCCACTATCGCCGAGCAAGCCGACATGCTCTGCCGCCTCTGCAGCATTGCGGCGGCTGCGACTGCTGCGTCTCTCATGAGCGGTCCGGACAGCCTGGCCACGACGATTGCCGACAATGTCGGCTCGGTCGCCTTTGGCAACTCTCGCGAGGCAGCGTCTCGCTCTGCCGCTGCTGGCCCAGCCCCCGCGGCAGCCGCAAGCGCGGAGGTGGAAGGCGAGCAAGCCGGAAGCGCGCAAGCGGCAAGCGGAGAGACGAACAGCGCGCAAGCAGCAGGCGCCGAGGCATCAACTGCGGGCACGTCCTCCGCATCCTCGGAGATCGCGCCTCCGCCGCGCTCGCCAGCGACTGCTAGCGCTATTAGCAGCTTGCGAGAGCGGCTGAACGCGGTCAGTGAGCGCGTGCGCCTCGCACGATCGGCGTCCGGGTCGAGGGCGGCACCTCCTGCGCCCGGCGGAGTGGCACACGCGCCCGATCCCGTACCCGAGCAGCGCCCAGCTCTTCGTCAGCCGGCCGATCCGTCGCAGCTTCATGGCGCCCTCGGCCAGCTCCTTCACGACGTCTCTGCGGGCCTGCACGGCACGCGCAGGCAGCGACCCGAGCCGCAGCGGCGCACGCAGACGCAGCCGCGGCCCTCGGTGGCCGTCCCGATCTCTGCGGAGGGTGCGCGCCTGCGCAGCATCCACGACACGAACGCCACGCTCGAGCGCGTGCGCGAGGGCAACATTGTCATGGGCCGCGAGCACAGCTGGGAGCGCGTGAGTCTGGGTGTGGGCAGGTAGAGCTGCAGTGGCTGACACTTGCGCAGTTCATCTTCGATCTCTTCCAAGACCTCGGCGCCGCCGTGCGCGGCCTGCCAGCGGCGGCCTCGGCGCTTGCAGACGCCGAGGTGGGCCGCAGCGATGAGGGCGACGGTTCAGCGACCGCCTCGGGTTCGGCGGCAGATGGCTCGCCGGCTCCTGACAGCGCGGCGGCGGGCCTGGACGAGGCCACGAGGACGCGTCGTGCGGGCGATGTGCAGGACGGCCAGCTCACGTTCTACCGCCTCTTCCGCTTCGATCCGCTGGGGGCCGGTGCACGCGATGCATCGGCAGCGACGCCTTCTGGACAACGCCCGCCGATGGCGAGACGCGCCAGTGCTCCCGACGTTTCGGCTGCTGCCGTCTCGGGCGCGCCGGCGGCTGCCACGGGCGCACCGGCGGTCGAAGGCGCGGCAGAGCCGGCTGCACCTGGTCTCATTCCCTGCATCGTCGTCGGCGTCCGCTCTCTCGGCGCCACTGAGACTGGCCCGCCGGGCCTCTTTACGCGCAACCGTCCGCCTCACGACGCTGCTGCCGCCGACGGCCAGCAGGCCGGTGCCGCAGCGGCGCCGGCTGGACCGGCTCAGGCCGGCGCGCCGCCCAGCATCGGCTCGGACGGCCTCCCGCAGGGCCCGGGCCTCGCGCGCTACCTCCTCTTCATCAGCGGCGGCGCGTACCGCGGAGACCACCCGCTGCTGTCGGCGCCCTTCAACCAGGCGGCGCAGGATCTGATGCTGCTCATGGAGGTGCGTGCCAGTGGCGGACGTCTGACCACCGCGCTGACCCGTGCCACAGCTTCTCTCGCGCATGCAGGCGATGCGCAAGGAGCCGCAGACGGTCACGCAGGCGCAGATCGACGGCGCCGGGCTCCGGCGTGTGCACGGCGGCGCCGCAGAGATCGCCACGCTGGCCGCGCAGAATCTCGTGCACGAGAACACGAGCGTCAAGTGCCTCATCTGCCTCGAGGACTGGGAGAGCGCGTCGGACGACTGCCGCCTGCTGAGCTGCAAGCACCTCTTCCACACGTGAGTGCAGCGCCCCCCCCCCCCCCCCCCCCCCCCCCCCCCCCCCCCCCTCCCTCCTCTCCTCTCCTCTGTGAATCCTAGCTGACCCCCGCGATGGCAGCGCATGTGTCGACCAGTGGTGCACCAAGTCGAGCGTGAGTGTCGATCGTGTCTGCTGAGACTCGCAGTCGCTGATTCCCGGCACCGCAGAACTCTTGCCCGCTGTGCCGCGCACAGGCAGTGCGCACGTCGGGTGCGCCGCGCCCCGGCGCCTCGCCGCCCGTGGCGCCCAACGCCGCCGCAGCCGGCCAGGGCGATGCGGCCGCGTAGCGCACACGCAAGCTTCTAGGACGTCGTCGCTGGCCATCGCCGCATCGACGCCATGCCTTTCCCTCATGACCTTCCATGACCATCCCGCTTAGACGAGCACCCGCCCGCGCCCCCCCTTCATCCTTCCGCATCGTCCCACCCACATCGCGCGCCGCAGTAATACACATCATCAGCCGAGCTGGGTGTCCGAGCTGCATTGCCGCGCATCTGCAAGCGCCCGCACCGTCCCCGCTGTGGCACGAAGCTCGCCGGCCCGGCCGGCGCGCCACTCCATCGCAGTCCCCGATGCGCCGGTCGCCAAGCGGCAGCTCGCGCGGCCCGGCGCGCGCCCAGCCCTTAGATGTACTGCGAGATCCAGCGGAAGCTGCGGAGAAGTCGTCAGCCGCCGGAGCCGGCGCGAGACGCGGCGGCCTACGCACCCCTCGCCGTAGCCCTGGCGCATGACGACGGAGCACATGAAGACCTCGATCGGACGGATGTCTGGTAAAGGTCAGTGGGGGCAATGCTGGCGGTCCTCTGCGGCGCTCACCCTTGAGCGGCACCTTGCCCTGCAGAGGCGGCACGTCAGCATGGCGCACAGAGGCTAAGCGCGCAGACTGGAGAGCCGGCCATCGAGCCAGGCCCCTCGAGCGGTGCGAGCGGTGCGTCACGCCAGCAGCACTACATCGCCTGGCCGTCCCGCCGTCCATGACGCTCGCACACGCGCCAGCACCGTCGCCCGTCGTCCGCGCTGCCCCTCTGCTCACTCACCTTGCCCGTCGTCTGGTAGCACCCGAGCGCGTTGCGCAGCTCCTCCTCGCTGACGGCGCCCGGCGCGTCAATCTTGTTGCCGAGGATCAGGAACGGCACCCGCGCGAGCTCCTCGATGGCGAGCAGCGCGTCGAGCTCGGCGCGGCTCTCGCCGAAGCGCTCGTGGTCCTGTGCGTCGACGAGGAAGACGATGCCGTCGACCTCGGGGAAGTAGTCCTTCCACAGCCGGCGGGCTAGAGTGGGCCAGTGCGGCAGAGCGTGAGTGGTGAGCGTGTGGACTAGCTGCGACGCACGCACCCTGCTGGTGGCCGCCGAGGTCGTACGTCGTGAACTTGACCTGGCCGATGGCGAGCTCCTCGGACGCTGCGAGGGGTTAGCGCTAATAGGGGTACAGCACAAGGCGCAACGCACTCGGGTGCAGCGTCGGCTGCAGCGTCGCGAGGCGGTCGTTCTTGAGCATGTGCAGCAGCGTCGTCTTGCCGGCGTTGTCGAGGCCGAGGAAGAGGATCTTGGCGTTCTTGTGCGCGAGGCCGAGCTGCGCCAGGATGTCCTGCAGAGCATGTGTGAGTGGTGTGCCGCGGCAGACGTGCTGCAGCGGATCGGAGGCGCGCTGCACGCCACGCACCCAGAACCAGTTGATGATGAACATGCTGGGCGTGCGGTGCGGAGGGGTGTGTCGTTAGGGATCGTGATGGTGGACGGGTGGCGGCGCGTGCGCGGCGCCGGCGAGCGAACTTTGGCCCGGCGCGCCGCATGCCGCGCGGCGCGCATTCACAGCGCGCCGCGCGCTCAGCCCCGGCGCGACCAGCCAGCGCAACACCGGCACGTGATGCGGCGCGTGGGAGCAGGCCCCGCGCGCGCGAGCGCACCCTGCCTCCCGACCTCCACCGCATACCACCCGCGCCGCTGCATCGCCGCCAGCGTCGAGACCGCCAATCGCGACCAGCAGCGGCTGAATAGGTAGCAGCGGCAGCAGCACAGCGCTTGATGTCGTAGTGGTAGTGCAGGCCTCGACGCCGCAGCGGCAGCACAGCGCTTGACGCCACAGCGTCCCGCGTCAGGCAACGCCTGCGGCACGGCGGCGCGGAAATTGGGTCGCAGCGGTTGCGCTTGAGCCGCAGACAAGGTGAGTAGGCATAAGATGGCAGACGACAGCAGCAGGCGGGGCTGGGAGCTGGGAGCCGGGAGCTGGCAACGGCGGCGTGCTGCAGGGGCGTGGCTTGCGGGAGCCGCGCTCAAGCAGCGTGCCGCAGCGGTGGCAGCAGTGGCCATGGCCAAGCGGGATGGGCAAGCGGCGTCACCGGCAGCTGGAGCGGCGGGAGGAGCGCACAATTGGGCAAGTGTGGATTGAAGCCGGCAGCGTCTTGGGAGGAGCGCTCTGACGCCTCCCGCGCAGTCCTCGAGCGGCGCACACACGGCGCATACACGCCGCTGGAAGGCCGTCTGACACGCCAGCGTCAAGACGCGTGTTGCCAGGCTGCGCAACAATGCAGCCCGCTCTGCCCTTGGGCGACAAGGTAGAGCAAGAAAGAGGCGCGCCACCGTCTCTGTTGCCCTTGCCGCTACTGCCAGCCACCGCTCCACCTCACGTTGCACCTTGACGCCGCCGCTCACCGCCGCGCCACGCTCTGCTGCCAACAGCGGGCCTAGCACTTGGCAGCTGCGTGCCTTGTGCGTCTTGTCTCAGCGCAGCGCGGCACCAAACGAGGGGCTCAGGTGCGCACAAGTGAGTACAGCGTGCGTTGCAGAGGGTGGAGGCAAGCTTCTGTTGACTCGCTGCGGCTGCAGCTGCGGATGTGCCGTCCGGTCAGTGCTCAAGCTGCTGCGCCTTGCTTGGCAGCAAGTTGAGGTCCTGTGCTGGCCTGCTGTATGTCACGCAGCTGCCAACATTGCGCTGCTGCTGACATTGCGTAGCTGCCCCCAGGACACCACACTGGAGGAGGAAAAGACAGGGCTGGAGGCCAAGGAGCTCGCAGAGGGGGAGAAGGAGGCTGTGCTGAAGGAGAAGGAGCAGGCCATTGGCAACAAGGAGATGGCTCTCTGCGCCTGGGGCAGCGGCACCTCTGCATCCCAAGGGCCTAGAGCTCCAGAAGAAGGAGAAGGTGCTGAAGGACAGGCTTGCTGTCCCAGAGGCAGAGGCCAAGCGCCTGCAGAAGAAGGAGCTTGCGCACCTCTAGGGCCTGCAGCTGGCTCCTACACAGCTGCCGTACTTGACAGACAATGCCATCCACATTACTAAGGCCTATAACAGCATGAACATCATTGCCCAGGCACAAGTTCATTGCCAAGGAGTGGCATGGGACACAGTTTGGCCTCTGCAACTTTGGGTTAGGGTTAGGGTTAGGGTTAGGGTTAGGGTTAGGGTTAGGGTTAGGGTTAGGGTTAGGGTTAGGGTTAGGGTTAGGGTTAGGGTTAGGGTT